TAACGGTCTCAACTCAGTGTATTGACAACTAGCTGAGCGACTGCAACGAGTATCCTAAAGCTGAGGAGAAAAGAAAGGAAGAAGAAAAAGAAGAAAGTTCGAGAACAGAACACGAGCTTTTAAAGGGAGCTCCGGAGCCGATGTGGATCCCCGGTCGAGAGCGGAGCCGAGACCCACACGGGCCCAGCCCGTTACAGGCCCCCAAGCTCAGCACATACTTCTGCATGGAGCTGGTCGGGTAGCGCGCCGTAGTATCGATCTGGATTTCCGGGTACGAGTGACCCATTGGTCAAGGCGTCAAGGTTCCTGAATTGCTTTTGCCTTGCAGCACACGTGCAGCGTCGATCGTTTACGTTTCCTTCAATGATGGAGACGACCGTTGCCGTAACCTTGGTCCCTTGTTGTAGTGCCTCTGCATCCCGGAATGCGTCAAAGTGTCGGTCTGTGAACACCGTTGGGTCAAGCGAGGGTCGACGGCGTCGGAAAATCTGCTCGCGAATTTCGACCAAATTATCAGGTTGCGGCAGGGCGACGCTGCCAGGGAGAGTATGTCCAGGGGGATAGACCTCATAGCTAATCAAATGGTCCTGGAAACTGGTATCATACGTGCTTGTGTTTCTCGCGGTGGTCGTGTTTGGTGTCGCGATGCCCTTGGGAGTCTTAACAGGAGTCCTAACTGGAGTCCTGACCGGAGTCTTAACAGGAGTCTGGAAGCCTCTCTGTTGACGACTAGAGGTAGACTCTCGCCTGCTCATAGCGTACGTTGGTTCGGTACGTCGGTACTGCGGATGGTTAGCTCGAATCAAGGACTCTAAACGCAAGTGCTTACCCCTCTAACACCCCGTAGGTCTGGACCACCTCGTGAAGTAAAGCAACGAAGTCGCTTCGATTCAATCGGTGAGCAGCTGCGCAGGTAGCTCTCGGCGGATGGTTGATCAGCAGTCGACTCGGAGACCCGTCGGTTGGCAAGCTGATCACTATGCCTCGGTGTCGGCCTTGTCGTCCTTCGGTTCTGGTGCGGTAGGGGTCCGTAGCACTCCAACGCTCGCAGCGTGTTCTTTGTGAGGTGTATCTCCGGGAGTTCTTCCCAAAATCTCCTTGGTGGAAAGTCTGGGCGGTGCGGCCTGTGACGGACCAGTTGCTGCTTCTTGGATGGAAGCCGAGTCGTGTCTCGGGTTGCCGATGAAGGAAGCTGGCGTTTAGATCAAAGATGGAGTGAAGTCCACTGGCCGCTCCGGTGCTGTGGTTTGCGATAAGAGCACCACGGAGCTTCGCATGGCTGAGCCGATGTTGGAGGAGAAGGACATTTATGTCTATGTCTGAGCAGTGCAAGTGAAGGGAGTGACTGACTTGATGACGACCGACGTGGACGCGATCGTGAAGTCGCTGTTGGCCTCTGGTCGGCCGTGCACGCAGAGCCTCAAATGTTGGGTCGGGTCAGGCCCTGGTTTGCTGCACTTACAGTACAGTACCTCAATGATTAGCTGCAGGCAACTGACATAGGTAAGGGGCATCCAATCAGGCATCCTGAAGCCTCGGAAAGTACATCCGCCTCGGCCAACTCGGCCATTCTCCGCGGGCAAAACAACGGAATCTTTTTTTACTCGCAGCCCAGTTGCACCTAGCCTACTGTCATGGTTTGCTGGCTCTCGTCTGGCTAACCAGATGGAGAATGTTTTGTTGGTCCGTGAAGCCATCGACAGCAAACGTGAAAGTTCATGGTCCGTACTGTATTTGTCCATAGCCGCGTGAATGTCACACTCACAGAACTAGCCGTTCACGGTCGGCCTGGCCGCAAGGCATCATCAGCATGTGCATCATCAGCTCATGGAGACACGGGTACGTTTCAAGTGCCGAAACCAACCCGGTTCTCAACTGACAGCGTAAAATGCGCGACCTCCATCAATCGGTGCCGTTGGAGAGGTATGGCGTTGCTCAGCAGATGGCAGGTTGATCCCAGTTCAATGGCTCATAGTAGGTACAGTAAATGTGTCCATTCCAGTGAAGCAAGAGGCCTCCGTCGAACAGTTCCAGTGAGGCAAGAGGCCTCCGTCGAACAGCATTCGGGGTGCGAAGAGGCACTGTTCGTTGGTCACATTATGCATGGAGGCGGTCAGTCATATTGACGCCTGGGCCTACCGTCTTCCTACTCTTGAGTCACCAGCTCGTTAAAGCTGACGAGTGGACTGTCCATGTTGGCTTCCGTAGGGATGTTAGGTTGACTCCCTTGCGTCCCCCTGAATAAGAGGCAGTACTGCAAGTACAGCCTCTGCACGTCCCGAAGAGTGAAGTATCGGGAGCGACCTTGCATATGCACACCACAGAGAGTGGAAAAGGGCAAAGAGTCATTTCTTTTGCGAGAGCAAGCTTGCATATGCAGGACTATTTGTGAGACGGATCGCGGGATTTTCTTACGCAGGCAGGCACTCCCTCACCTGGCAAACCTTTCTCCAACACCCATCATAACCACTTTGAGGGCTACAGTCACCCGTCGACTGTGCTCGTTGCAGGGCGGCACAACAAATGCGAATATCCAGTCAAACACACGCCCATCGAAAGAACGTTCTAGAGCTCGATAACCGCCTGCAGGGCCGCTCTACGTAACCAACAGGGCATCCCAGTGGCTCGTATACGACTGCATGTTGTGTGGGATGTCATAGCCCACACTCCGCAACCACCAAATTTTCACTCAATGCCCAGCGCCGCCGCAGGCACGACCCGGGGCCATGCCGATGTGGCCGTGTGATTCCCGGGCTTGCAACAGGCCTGTTGTTCGCGTGCTTGGCGACTGCGAGCTTTGCGACCGCCATTTGTGCTCTCTGCATTTGGAGCCCCCGTCGCACACATGCCCACATTGGAAGGCAAACCTCTCTCAACCATTGTAGTTGGAAGATTAGGCACTGACATATGGGCCCGGCAGGACGGAGAGACGTATGACTCTGCGACTCGTGCCGCCGAAGCTCGAGAGCTCGCGGCGCTCATCGCCCTCATTGACCTGGAGGCGCTGGCGAGGCGGGCCTCTCGTCTTCGCCATGGCATGCCCTGCACGGCCCCCCGTCCGCAGTACGATCCAGAGACAAGGAGCTCTGTCATGGGCGGCATGAACTACCACATTGAGCTATGCCTCGACGATGGAGTGTCGTGGATCGCACGTATACGCAGGTTCAACGCGACATCCCCGCCGGCACCTTTACGAGACTACATTTTACGCAGTGAAGTGGTCACTCTGCGATTTCTCCAGGGGACTGCAGTTCCAGCGTCAAAGGTGTACGACTTTGCACTAGAAGGCCCGGAAAGCCCTGTCGGCGTCGGGTTCATTCTTATGGACAAGCTGCCCGACAAGTCCTTGCGGTGGTCGCTGGCGACGCCGGAGGAGCGGAGACGAGTCATGGACCAAATGGCGAACACCTTCATCGAGCTTCATAGCCATCCCTTTGACCTGCTCGGTTCTCTCCTGGATACCCCCGGTGGTTTGGCCGTGGGCGCTTTCGCCCGCGAGTCATTGACTGACTTCGAGGGGTCTAACATGACAACCATCGGGCCGTGCTCGTCCTGGCAAGATTACCGGCTAGCTTCTCTGTAGCTCACACTGAAGGTGATTTCACGAGAGGAAATGTACACGCAGCGACCAGTGGACGCCTACCTCATCCATCGATTCCTCACCGACCTGGTCCCGACCATCACTCCGGCCTCAACCGGAGACATCAAGTTCTACCTCAAGCACGCCGACGACAAGGGCGACCACATCCTCGTCGACGACGACTTCAACGTGACAGGCATCATTGACTGGGAATGGGCGCACACGGCGCCTCCGGAGCACGCCTTTAACTCGCCCGTCGGCTTCCTGCCGGTCTCGGAATTTTATGGCGGCAACACTGCCATCGGCGGCGGCGAGGCAGTCTTTGCGGAGCTGCTCGAGGGCAGGGGCCGACGAGACCTGGCCGAACATGCCAGGAACGGGCGGGTGCAACATTTCTTTGACTTTTGCTGCGGCTATGACCTGGAAGACTGGGATGGGTTTCTCGGGCTGTTTAAGGGGCTGAGATGTGCGGTCGGGGTGGACGCGGGGATGGAGTGGAAGGAATGGAAGGCGGTTACGTTGAGGCGATATGAGGTTGACCAAGGCCTTCGTGCGCTTTTGAGTCGGGACGCAGGCAGCTGACCCAGCTCTGGCGTGTGCGTCTGTCACGGCCGGATGCATGTGTTTGCTAAGTTGGACACCAGGTGCATGTGAGGCTATTTAGCAGTACCTTGCGCCAAATGGAAAACCATTGTTTGGAGTACAGAAGTCAAGAGTTGAGGGTATCTACTCCGTGCCTCGCGATGCACGACAACATCATCTCACACAAAGCCACTATACTTAGCGGCCTTGACCAAGCACGGTACACGTCTAGACGCGCAGCATCACGTCTTCCTCCGCGCCACGATGAACGGCCGGTGGTCGTTTCCCTTGGACGCGTGCATCTCCGTCTCCATCACTTCGAAGCCGGCCTCCGCGATCCGCGCGCTCAGATCAGTAGCCGTAAAGACAGCCGCGTACGGCGCCTTGCCCACGGCCCGCATCACCGGCAGCGCGAGCTTCACGAGCGGGTTCATCTCGCCGACGCACGGCGTCTTGGTGATGAGCAGCCCATCGTCCCCGAGCAGCGCGTGGATGCCCTTGAGCGTGCCTGAAAGGTCGCGCACGAGATGCAGGTAATTGAAGCCCAGCACGACGTGGAACTTGCAGTCGCCCTTGTCGTTTTCGGCGACAAGCGACTCCACGGTGGCGGTGCGGAACTGGAGGCTGGGAAGCTTGGGGTCGTGGCTTTGCAGCTTTTCGGTGGCAATCTTGATCATCCGCGGGGAGATGTCGGTGGCCAGATACTCGTGCACGCGATCCGCGAGGCGCAGAGCGGTCGAGCCCGTTCCGCATCCAAGCTCCAGAACACGATGCGTCGGCTGAAGTGAGCTGCAGGTCCGGTCGAGGGTCCGCTGGTAGCCGGCTTCGTCCGACACGGCCGACTTGGAGTACGACGGAGCGGACTTGTCCCAGAACCGCGCGTCGTCCTCGAGTGTCATCTTGAGCGGCTACGGCTTGTGAAGCGAGATGTAATGAGAAGAGGATTTGTATGTGAGGCACCGTTGCCGTTGCAGCGACTCCAGCAGCAGACGCCCATACGGGGCCTTCATACTTTATGTGTCCGACAAGTTGCCATGCATAGGAGTCATAGGACCCTGCGCCTATTCGGAACAAGTATTGGTTCGGGTTCCGGATTGCTCGCAGCCACCGACGCCAAGGCTCGGGATGGGAAAGGGGTCGTCATTTGACCTTCAGCCCCGGGCGAGCTGAGCGTCAGGGCCACTGCGTCGTGGCCACTTCCATGTCAAGTCCCGTTCCTACTCAAAGCGTCTATCTTTTTCTCATCTCGATCGGCAAAAGAATTGGGCGCGATACCCTGTATTATGCTCTCAACTGCCCCAGTACCGGCTGAAGCGACGGGACTGATTTGGAGGCCAAAAGTCACGGTCCACCACCGAGAACGGCCGCGCTACAACAATGCGCGGGCATTGCGGAGGATAAAGGCCATTGTAGGCTTCTCAATGAGCATAGACCCTGGCTTTGGCCTTGCACTCACGCGTTTGACACACGTCATCCTCTATCGGACGAACCGCATTCTAGCCTAAAAGGTGCAGTTCGCAGCTGAGTCTATGGCGAATGTCCGTGCCTGTCCAGACGCTCAACCTCCAACGAAGCCAAAATGAAAGCCGATTCCCCGAGTAAACTGTTGGGCACAATCGGCTGCGATGTATAGTACTCATACGTCGCTGTCGAGTTGAGGCTGCAAACCGCCACCGTCTTGTCGAACCCAATGGTGCCGTTTCCCTTGCCCACGTCCGTGACGAACGCGTTCGTCGCGTAATTGTACGCCTTGACCGCAACGCTTTGCAGGTGGTGCGAACGGTCACTAAGGATGTCTAGCCTCAGCGCCTTGAGGATGGAAAAGATAAAGAGGACTGTGCTGGAGCTCTCGAGGTAGTTGCCGGCGCGCCCGGGAAACATGGGCAGTTGCCACCACGCGCCCGTCTCCTTGTCGGCGTACTCGACGAGCGAATCCACAATCTGGACAGTGATGTTGCGGATCTGGCTGCAGAGCGGGCGGTGCGGCTCGCCCGACCTGCAGCAGTCGTAGCGCTCGTATGTCTGCACCATACCAGCGAGGAACCAGCCCAGCGATCGGCCCCAAACATACGGACTTGAGCCCGTGACGTTGTTGGCCCAGACCGCCTTCCGCGACCAGTCGTACCCGTGAGCGAGCAGGGCATTGTCCGGTCGCCTGCAGTGCGCCTCCAGCAGAGTTACTTGGAGTTGCATGTCCGTCTCGTTGGGGCGCGTGGCGCTGGCCATGAATGGTAGTAGAGAGACCATGCCGTCGAGGTAGCTCCATTCGGTGTAGACGTAATACCAGAAGCCTCCATCGGGGTTGCGCCGCTGCAAGGCGAGAGATGTGTTGATGGCTTCGTACGCCGTCGTCGAGGCCGGCGTGACAGACAAGCCGGACGACACGGCACGCTCGATGCCGGTTGCCAGGGAAAAGCGATCGAGTGGGCGGCCCGCAGCCCAGGTGGCATTTGTGTACGGCCGTGATGCGCTGTCGAGCACCCTGACGAGATACTCTTTGTCGCTCTCCTGGCACGGGGAGTCGCGGTACTGAGTGGCAGTCTCTTGCATGGCCAGCGCGAGAATGCCATTTTCGAGCGTGCTGGACGCCGCGCCGGAGGATATGACACCCTGTTGTCGCAACTTGATGCTGTCCAACATGCGCCGCGAGTATGGTTGTCCGTGCCCCAGAGAGCCGGCCGCCCCGAAGGCAAGGGCGACGAGTGCCGCAGCGTGCATGATTGCGCGTCGGACAGCGAAAGACTGGGCAGACCAAGATCTCGTAGCCGGCAAGTAGACGAATGAGCCGGCCTTTTATCCCGTTTCACAAGGGATGAGATTCATTCACGTACGTGATCGCTTCGTTCGAGCTGCAAACACACCCGGAGGGTTGCGTTGAACCCTCACGCCTTTCACGCCTCGTAAGATCGAACTTGTCTCCGCGGTTAGCGTCCAATCAGTGCCATCGTCGCAGCTCATCCTTGCGCGAATTGACTTTGGGCTGCGCTTTGGTACAGTAAGCTGAGAGGGCAGCAAGGTCCGGTCGGTGTCCGAGACATGGATGAGCCATCTGCGTGGCCCGGCTAGTTCCGCCATAGACAAGGCCTCTCGCTAGAACAAGGGCGAAGAAACCACGAAGTCCTCGTGCAAAGGGCATGGCGTTTCGACGAAACGAGTCAAGGGACGTTTATACTATATCGTGCCTTCTTCCCACCGTACTCACAAATGGCACGAACGATCAGCGGCGCTCCCCAGGCTCATTGACGTTGACACAATTGACAATGTTGCAAAACGAACGCAGATTTTTGAGCAACTTCGTGAGTCCGACCTCGACCGTGTCCTCGGCGCTCGCCACCCTGTGAGCGGCTTTTACTTGCACCAACACCTCAACGCCCGCGCCCTGATCCTCGCTATGACCTCAGAATGGCATGAGGCCGATCCACCCAACCAGCCCCTTGGGTTAGTAAATCGTTCCGCCGCCCACATAGTCATTGGCGCTTGCAATGGCGAGGTTCACGGCCATGGCAAACGCGGCGAGCTCCCTGTTCACCGTGCCGTTATACCCCTGCTGGAGGTGCCCAACATAGTCGAGCAGCACGACGTTGGGGTGGCTCCACGGCGTGAAGGCATTCCACGCCTTCCAAAACAGCGCATCGTACGGCCATCGCGTCGCAAAGGCCTCGATGCCCATCGACGACGTGATGGGCACGTTCTCGATGCCCTGCAGCGTCAGCACCCACTGCATGACGAGGAACTTGTCGCGCAGGTCGGACGCGACAATGTTGCGATGCGAGGCAAGATAGGAGAGCTGGTCGCTGGCCATGTCCGAGATGGAGTCGGTGTCGGACCAGTGCCCCTCGCCGTCCCAGCCAAACGAGTCGGACGCCTTGTAGATGCCGCGGTCTGGGCGGACCGGCCCATCGTCGGAGATGATGATGACGCAGGCGCTTCCGCTGCCGATGAACTCGTTCATTGTCTTGTCCGTGAGGTCGCCCGTCATGCCGCCGCAGCGGTGCGTCAAGCCTTCCAGTAGATCGAAGAGGTGGCTGTACTCGCCGTCATTGAAGCCGCGGTAGTTGTCGTCGGTGTTGTAGGCATGCGAGACGTGGAGGATGACAAGCTCCGCATTATCGGCCATGAAACTGGTCCATCAGTGACTTAACCTCGAAAGAAAAAGGGCTTACGTATCACATACGAATTGACCTCGTTTACAATGTCGGTAATGTACTCTCCGTTTCCCCCCAAGACAATGTCAGCAGGGACGTTGTAGTGGCCGACCAAGTACTGGCCCCCATTGCCGACAACGGGCCGGATGTCAAAGAAGCGCGATCCAGCGCGCAGCTGGTCGTAAATGTTGAAGTGCTGTGTGTCCGTGTTGTCCCTCGTCACAACTGGTGCTTGTTAGCTTATCCTCGACCACAGACGACAAAGTGAAAACACTGGCTCCCCAATGCGAGCACAATCACGGCACTCACATGCGGTGTTGCCATTAAGCGTGGACATTCCAGCATCATGCGAACCGATCATGCACACATGTCGCAGCTTTCGTCCACCGATAACGTTGAGAATGGCGCTCATCCAAGCGATCGGAGGGTTTAGGCTCGTCCAGTAATGGCCGTACTTTTCACTACCTGTGACAACAAAATTGAATGCGCGATACCCGCCGCGGTCCCCGAGTTCTGTCGACGACCCCGACGACTGATCGTCAGTCCTAAAGTTCTCAAAATAAAAGACTTCGTGCATCTTGTGGCTGTCGCCACTGTTGGTGCGCGCCCAGATCTGAAACGTGCTGTCGGTGCCGTCGATGCGATAAAACGCCTCAGCCTTGTCGTCGACAAAGCTTGTCCTCGTCCCGTTCTGATACTGCTGCTTGTTCTGCCTAGCTGAGCCCGCGGGGACGCTATCAAAGCCAAACGGATCAACCTGGTATGTGTGCGTGTGGTTCAAGTGGAAGTCGTGGGGCGAGCCGTTCAGGAGGGTAACGTAGGTCACCAGACTCGAATCGTATCGACCGGGCCATGTAATGATATCGGACCGCGATGGAAAGTATTCGCCGTCTGGGACACTGCCATGCCAGCGCGCATAGTGGTTGGAGCGCTTGCGGGCATCCGGCGTTCCCTGGATCGGATAAAAGACTGTGAGTTGACTCCACCAGGGATGGGCGCCGATGGCCTGGTTGGCGCCCGCTGGGATCGCAGAGCCGTCCGAAACCAACATATTTTCCCCTCCAATCGTGATGAGGTTATGGATAATGACATTCTTGGTGTTCTTCAAAAACACCATGGTGTTTTGGCAGTACCACGCATCGACTTGCGACGGCACACAGTTAGCAGCGACCAGACGTACATCAGACTCGGAACGGGGACGTAGGCTTACTACAAGTTTGGCTGTAGGCTTGAAACCACGAATACAGACCAGCGCCGGCGATGAAAATGTTCTCTGAGTTGGCGATGAGCACAGCCCAGGACGCATCGCAACCCACCTCTCCGGGGCTGCACTGGAACTCTGGGTCACCTGCTATGGCCCCGATAGCATCTTGAAACGGCGCCGGAGGCTGCGGGCTAGGCTGATAGTAGGGCGACTCAGTTTGTATCATACCGGCAAAGACGTTTTTTGCGTTGTGGAAGTTGTACTGATAGTAGACGGAAATGCTCCGAGGCCGTCCCGTATAACCAAGTAGCGGACCGGCTTTCCACGAGAAGTCCCCTGGCGTTGTATACGGATACCATGGCCTGTACAGGTCAGCGGCCATACTGCACAGCTCAGCTTGCACTCACCATGCCATTTCCATCATCGCGTCGATCTGGATCACTGGTCGAAAAGTTAGTCTCTGGAGATACGCAGTCTCAACTGGCAATAGACTGTACTCTGACATGTGGTCTGCGACCCAGAGCCAAACATTTTCTAGGTAGGCGCTCGCAGACGGTGTGATGTGCATCATAAGACTTCCCACAGAGCATCCGCTGTTGACGCCCGACGTGGACGCGGGACATTCACTCGGCGTCAGGCCAGTGCCCGTCGCTCCGCCGAGACGGAAGTGCGTATCTACGTCTCATCAGCATCTGGTGTAACGACATTCTTGTGTGGATCGTACCCCACATGCCCGCAGACCCTTGTTGATCCGCGAGCAGATTCCATGCGACGAGCACGGCTCCGGGTGTCGCTCCTTTGGTCGTGAACAGGATGTCCTGGATCTCGACCGATCCCCGATCACCCTGGTTTCCGACGCGGAACATGATGCGCGGCTCTCTGCAACAAAACACACATGTCAGCAACAAACCTCTGCATCCAGTCTCTTGGATGCCGTGATCACGACGTACGTTGCATCCGAAAAGTTGGGCCCAGAGGCAGCGAGCTGCGACCAGGCCTCGCCAACGATTCGCGTTCCTGTAGGCACTGTGACGGTATCCGTCAAGATGTATGTGCCCGAGTCAACAAATATGATGGAGTCTGATCCACTGAACTGGTCAAGAACACGCTGAAAAGCCGCCGTGTCATCCGTCGCCCCGTCACCTGGTCCCATGTTAGCCGAGAAGCATCATGAGGGGCCCGCGTCATCATGCGCAAGTCGCACCTTTGCAGCCATGGTCCTTGACGTGCACAAATGCGGAAGCGTCTACGTCCTCGTACTGCGGTTTCGCCCTCTCAAAGAACGGACTCTTGGGCAGACCATTTCCCCCACCTACCAACGTCGCTTCGCGTGGTGTAGCAAAGGAGTATCCGAGCGACACGTCTCTGCTCGTGCCCGTGAAGTACACCGGCCCCAAGGTCCACGTGTCCAGCGAGGTCGGAGAGCCCTGGACATACTCGTAGTTGCTCGTGTCGTACACATAATGCTGCACGTTTGTGAAGGCGACGTTGTCTAGGGTAATGCCCGTGGTCCCCGTGTTTCGGTCCTTGGATGCTGGCTTCGTCAAGATGGCAGTGTTGACGTTGTTGAACTTGGAGTCCATGATGTACACGGACCTTATGCTGTCGGTGCCGTCGGAGTTTGTGAGACGGAAGCCAGTATCTACGTTGTTCATCTCGACCGATTTCCATGTCTGCACACACCATCTCAGTGATGAGCCAATCGCCGCGATGGAGTGAAGCACGCACCCATCCCCAGTCCCAAATCAACTGGACGCCAGTCTTGCAGCCGTTGAAGGTGAGCCTTTGCGCGGTGAACTGTTGACTGCCCCCATCTGTGTGGTGTCAGTGATGGCCACAAGGTCTTCCAGGCCACATACACAAGCCGAAGTTGCCACCTGTAAAGGTGACATCGCTGATGTGACCGCCACTACCGTTTTCCGCGACTTGGTCAAAGCCATCAGTAGAGAACTTGCAATCTGAGACTGCCCTACTCACACATGCCCTGCTGGGTAGTGCTTGGGTTGTCGGAAGGATTCGTTGAGATGAGCTCAACAAACTGCAGGCTTGTCGCTTGGGCGACTTGGTAATGGAGCGCGCATATGTATGCACTCTGCGATGCCGGGCGGATGTCGATCCTAATGTTTCGTATCTGCCGATAGAAACTCGCCTATGGAGCAATGTCAATCGGTGTTGTATACAACGAGCGGACGAGACTCACCGTATTGATATACCATTCCTTGGCGCCACCATCAGGTCCAGTCCCGCCATTGGGAACATACTCGTCTGTCGCAAGGACTCCCATCCCGACAAACGAGGGCGCCGCCAGGATTGTCGGCCAGGAAGCGGCCTACGGAACGTATGAGAGACTGCCTGGAGAACAGACCAAAGACACACTTACATCGCCAATCAACTGCGTGCCGAACACAACATCAATGGTGCTGCTGACCAGGTACGTCCCTGAGGCGAGTCAGCGAGACTGGTCCAATCGTCTCCGGCAAGCGGCCTTACCTCTGGGAAAGTACACGATGGCATTTTGGGTCGTGGAGCCGTAGCAGCCAGCGGCACACCGCGTACTGCTGCGGTCGTTTAGTGACGCCGCCATCATGGCATCCTTGATCGCTTGCGTGTCGTCCTGCAATGCCCGTCGCGTCGTGAGTATGACTGAACCACCGCTTTGCAACTCTGGGCACGTACGTGTATGCCATCGCCCCAAGCCCCAAAATCTTGAACGTTCCGGAAGACCTAAGGCACAGTGAGCGCTCCATACCCGACCGATCGACCTTGCATCATGGGGGTGCACCTGGTAGCCAGCATCCCCGCCCCATGGAATCGTGCCTTTGCGGTCGATGTTCTCCATCCAGAACGAGCTGGACCTCGTGGTCTTTGTGATGGTCGTCGATCCATTGTTTGCTGCAAAGGCGTCGACCTCGGCAACGAGAGCAGCAGCGTGGGCAATCTCGGCTGTGATGTCCAAGAGCGGAGCGGGCTGAGTGTCTTGTGGCGCCGTAGATCCGCTACGCTTGAGCTTTGTCCCAGGTGCAAGCTCGTAAATGTTTCGAGCGGGACTCCTGACACGAGCTTCATTGAGTTGGGCAGCTCGCTCCAGGGCATTTCTGACAATGTCTCTGGCCTTTTCGACATCGGACAGCGTGGCGTTCTCGCTCAAGAGGCCAGGTCGTCGAGCAGCAATGGTACGTCCTTCATGTCGAACCTCTGCAATCGGAGATGCAAGTGCAAGCCAGCAGCAAAAAATGAGCAGGAGACGTAAGGCACGATGCAACATGCTCTGTAGCGCCATGGTCGCGGAGGTGGCTCCAAGTGCCACCAGCTTTGATGTCTATTTTCTGCCATGGTCTGGGCGGCCGCAGTGTTGTATTATGCTAAACTCGAAACCAGAATCCGCGCAGTGTGCCTCGTGGCGAAAGAGCGGAATGGTATCAGTCCGACGCATGCGACGGATGCAGCTCATGGGGTCACTCTCCTACTCTTGTTGGGAGCTCGTCTTCCTTCTCTCACCGCGCCTGCGAGCATATGAGTACAGCATGAGCCATAAGCGCGTGTGTGATGACGCCACAAGCGACAGTCTGGATCAGCCGGCAGTTCTTGATGTGTGTTGGTATCGCCAACCAACAACACGTGCCGTCGTCATCGTTGCGATTTGCTGAACGAAGCAGGCTTCCACAGCTGCGCATCGCGTGAGCCTTCGCGTTTCGCATGACCTGCACTGCCGATCAATGGCAGCTCGATATCCGCTGGTGTCTCTCTTGCCGCACGGTTGCTACCGTGGGCAGAGTTGGGTGCTCCTCTCCGTGCACGTTTGCGACCGCTTTTAGCAACATCCGCAATGTCGCCAGTCATGACTTCACACCCGGCCATCGCGAACAAAGAGATATTGAATCCTTATCTTCATCTAGCTCGATGCCCGTTGGAATACTTTCCCGGAAGAAAGAGGATGAACACGACCTTGCCCTGTCGCGCGACCACGGGTTCGGGCGGCTGTGCTGCTAGAGGGCGACAACACCACCATACTGTCCACAAACGTCTTCTCGGTCCTCACCATGCAAAGCGTTGCTGTGAGAGGAAGGTGGTGTTTATGAACGCTGCCTTCAAGTGTTCGTCCCGTCTTACTGGCAGGCGATCCGCCGGGAAATGTGGTCAGACCACCTCTCATCGGCCCTATACCATCTCGTCGTATATGACGAAGGCCAGGGGAGCTAACCTATTCTTAGCGTCAGCACCCGAGGCCAGAATTACTTCACTTGACTGTGTCTCATCATGAACCTCTTTTCCGTCCATAAACCATGGCTCCGTTTGGCTGATCATGTATCTATTCTATATGAGACAGGAATGTTCCGTAACCAGAGGCAGTAAAGACACAAACATAATCCGAAACAGCATACATTTGCACCAGCAACTCGAGCCATCACACGAGTCGGAAAGCTGTGTTGGCTGCCGGTCAGCTCGGCCCGTGCCAACAACCTTGGCGTTCGGAGACATATGAGCACACCACGAGATCCTCTTCCATTTACAATGCCCTCACAGACTCTCTCCGAGCGGGCATACGGCCTGGTTCGGCTCTTCTTCATCTTTTCCGGACTAGCGCTTCTTGCAGTGACCGTCTATCTCGCGGACAGGTTGGGTCGGAGACACCCCGAGCAGATATTGAAGCCGAATATCGCTGCGGTAAGGCCGGCGAAACGGAGCACGGAAAGTGCGGCCCGTGACTGACGTTTGCCCAGGCCTCGATCAGCATTGTCGCTGACGCCCTTGCCGTCGTTCTCTTCTTGCAACAGCGCTGCCGCGTCTTTATCGCCGTGGTAATTCTAGACATCGGCAGCATCGTTGCGGCGTGCCTAGGCATTCCGGCGGTGCTTTCGAGTGCCAATCGATATGCCGGCGACGTCAGCCCTCGGCACAAACGATGGCGCGCCTCTGATCTGATCGTGCTTGGTCTCACGATTCTAGTTTTGTGCGTGCCGTCTCGGCGAAGCCGCTGCGTACGTGTACATGTTTGTTGACTTGGTGAACAGATGCGAGCGAATCACATCGATATGTATGCTCATCATTGTGCGTCTAGCCAGGCGTACGAGAGAAGAAGAAAGTTCGGACTGTGAAGAGATACGAGAGGTGTAGGAAATACGAGAGGTGTTAGAGGTACGACTCACGAGTGACGCGACGGAAATGGAACATAGACAAAGCGTGTAAGAGTAACACCAGTAGCATAATGATATCCATCCTGAACTATGCTGCATCGCCTTTCCAGGAGGGGAGCCACGTCTTTCTGATAGGGTCTTAGGCGGAGTCCGTGAAACCCCTGCTTTCAGTGTTGCGTTTTCGTGAGTCGTTATGACATTTGTGTTCGTCTGCTTTCATGTTCCTTGGTCCCTGAAACAAAGCAATTCGTCACAAGCGGCTCCGTAGCTGGTACTACTAGCACGCCTTCCTTATCGGCGACATGTCGAGAGACCACTGCGACACTTCTGCTTCACTTGCACCTTCAGCCGGCCTTAGCAATAAAAGCTCACGCCAGCGAAGGATTCCGACATCAGAGTTCGATGCAACCAAAAGGTTGGAAGCGCACGGCCCAGTTGCGCTGGGCAACTCAGAGCCTTATGTAACGGGTCTTATCTTGCTGCTATCCAAGCTAGCGTCGGCTCTGGCATACGCCGGAAGTATGACACTCTATTGACTCTTGTTCTTGGGCTGGCTTGAGTAATTGCCTTTAGTATAAGGCGCCAGTAGCATCGACTCTGGAGCTGGCCGCAACCCCAAGGCACGGCAGTGGCACTGTCTAACGTCGCCGTACTACGGCATGTACGGTTTTGCGTGTACCTCTGTTAAATGGGTTCGCTACCAAGGCATTTCTTTGGCCTTTGACTTTCAGAGACTAGCCTACCGCAACACTAAAAGTCGTGAGGCTCCTCGACTGAGGGGCCCTCTTCACGGGCTTGGACTTTCCTCGGGCGACCATCCACCCTCGTCTCTCCTGTTCTTCTTTCATGTATTCCGAGGAGGCCCAGGAGCCTCTCAAAGATGCCTGGTTCGTCAACAATGCTGAGCTTGGCGCGTGGTCGCAACGTAGGAAAAATGACCGTAGGCGGCTCCTGGTCGACGCCCACCGCACGTCGAACAAGCTCAATGTCGTACTGTCTCAGGCAATTTTTCATGACACACCATAGCTCCATCCACCCTTCCCTGTCCTCGTTGCTCCAGAACCAGAAAAATCTAAAGTGATGCATTGGGCCATATTTCATTACGTGGCTCACCATTTCATGCATGGGCAGGCCATGTCCCAAAGCAAGTCGGATGTACCTCGACATTGGCATACGCTCGTGGCCATATCCGAGAAAGCAGTAATACCGGTTTCTTCCAGGGTGAAGATAGCCCGCTGGATACTCGCGAAACACCCGAACCTCGCTATCAAGAGGCCCTCGGAAGCTGCATTCGGCTGCAGCAACGGCTGGCCCTCCATTGGCTCGCCCGTGTCGGCAGCAGCTTTCTGGGATGGCTCTATGAGACATGTTAATGACGTCGATAGTGGCTGCGCGGGAGAATTCACAACTTTATGTCACCGAGCATCAACGCCATGCCGGAGTCACGTTTGAGACAAAAGCGACATTCCTAAAAAACAGTTTCTTCAGGATGTTCATTTTTTATGGGGATATCGAAGAGTAGTCGTGCGTCATGGCTTGTGGTTGATCCTCAGAGGTTGCGCAAGTCGGTGGATACTAACAGCAACGCTATTGACTGGAGGATCGTGATTGACAACCACCAAACATCATATCACATTCTCTCTTCGGCCACTGCCTGCCCAGCCCCTACACCTTGTGCCTACGGAAGGGGGGTTGGTAGGGTCGGGACGTCTGTTGGGCAATGACAAAAGAGGTGGCAGCGGCCATTGCTGGGTCTACATGGTGCACGAAAGAGCGACAAGTCACGGGCCAGCATTCCTAAAGACTAGCACTCCAGAATGTGCTTTTTTTTTGCTTCTTCGTGGGTATCTGAGCTCTCTGTGAATGGTCTACGGGCTGCCCATGGCAATGGTAATGGGAGTCTAATGCCGGCGCGAGCGACGAGACTTCTTCGCGTGCGACGGCGCAGCTTGACCGCTGCCGCTGGGCCCTTGCTGTGGCGCTGTGTCCCATCCAGCCACCTGCAGGTCGTCGGGATACGCCTGCACGTTGGGATTTCCGTTGTAGAAGTCGGCCATGCCCGTGGTCATCTGGGGGCCAGGGCGCACCTCTTCGAGCTGCATCTGACGCGTTTCCTCGGCGTGGACCTCTTGATTCAGACCCTCTACAATCCTGTGGCTTCCCTGGCCATGAGCGGACTCCAGGGCATCTCTTGCCGCCATGCAGTATTGGTCTGCTTGCTGGTATTCCTGCGCAAGGCGAGAATAATATGCATCCTCCGGGGAAAGTCCCTGCAGTTCAGCGTACAGCCGGGCCCGCTCGCTCTCCCATCCGAGGAGACGGTTGTACGTTTCCCACGTGGTCTCCCACACACTACGCGCTTGCGAGCCGGCCGGCGCCGCGTATTGGTACATGGGGAAGGCGTGGAGGGGGCCGTAGCGGTCTACGAACTCGCGGATCTCGCTCCACGAACGATTGCCGCCACCTAGAACCATGGCGGCGGCGTCGAGGAAACCTTGATTACGGGAACTGGGCATGGTGATGGAGGTCTCGTGTACCGACTCTGCTTTCGATTACTGTTGATAAGGCCAAGGCGGAAACGGAGAAAGAAATGTGTATCGTGGCAGGCAGGTCTTGCAGAGTATGTCAATTGTTGGACTGGGCTTGGATATCACAGCCATCTCCATGGGTGTATATATACCTGGCTCCTGTTGTAGAGCGGTTTGGAAGATGAAACGGGAATCATGGAACGAGTGCAGTGACTCGCAGCCGACCGCTCCATGCCCGCTAGCTACGATACGTTGTCGCGATGCGTTGCGCAACATCTTTAGTGAGCAAGTGCCTCGTGGCACTTCAGTGTAGAGTGAAATGTCATACATGGAACAGAATGAGCGAAGGGCTCACTTGATCCCGCCGTGAAGACGCCTTTGTATGGAAGGGTGCACAAAGGACCAAAGTGTATAACCGAGCCTCTTGCTTCGCGCCAGGTTACGCAACACAAGAATGACGGAGCAGGAGGGCAGAAGGCACGACGAAACAGGCGAGTAGCCAGCACACAGCTGTCAGATTGAAAACACTATTGGTCATCGTTGCTTGGGGCATTGGACTGTGCCAAGGCTAGGGCAGGGGCATTCGTTTGCTTTCCGACGACGGAAATGGTTGTGGTTCACACGATAGAGCCATCAAATTGGATAAAGCAACACCTCCCTTGATTACAGCATGTCTAGCTAGACCTTGGCCATTGTCCACGTTCGCTGAGACAGGCGCTGTCCCGTTTCACCAAACGGATATCACTTACGCTTCGCCGCCGTGTCTTCGCTCTCGATCGTAGCGAGTCTCTCCAAGACCATCCGCCTCGCCCGCTCTTCGTCTCCTTCCGTCCGTTGCCTCGCCTCCTGCATCGTCTTCTTAAACTTGGCGTTGGTCCGATGAAACGCATCCAACAGCCCCGTCGGCCCAAAATTCTCATCAAAGGCAAAGTGGTGGAAGTCGTGCTGCAGATTGGACGACATCCACGGAATGTTGTACCCGGAATGGGAGCAAATGGTCCCGAACTCGAGAGAGACGAAAATAAAGACCTGCTGGGCCCAGTGGTGCGGCACGATCATTGCGCCGAGGACGTTGGGCAACAGGTTCGAGAATACGTGCTCCGTCATGGAGCAGTACGTCGAGGCGATTCCCACGGGAGCCGTGAATTCGTGGTGCTGCTTGTGAAACAAGGAGTAGAGGCCCTTGGAGTGAAACGACCGATGGATGTAGTAGAAGCCCACCTCCGTGCAGAGCATGTCGAAGATGACGGTAGCGACGGTCCGCAGTGGCCCTGGCAGCGCCGCCGAACTGACTGGCCTGATCTGACCGAGGTGAACGGTGAGCGCGACGAGAGGCAGGGCGACGAAGAACTGGTTGCGCAGCCCAATGGCGAAGATGCGCAGGTATTCTTGCCCGCTCACGCGAATAAAGGGTTGCGTCTTGTACTTGAACAGCCACCTCGGCCACCCGGTAAGATCGGGGATCGCGAACACGGCACCCCAGACCCAGAAGAAGACAGACGTGATAATGAAGGTGCCCCACAAGTTCAAGTTGTACTCTCCGTATGTACGCTCGAGGTTGTCGTACACACTGCGGCCATAGGAGGACGAGTTAAACAGCACAAACGCGGTGATGAGAACGGCGTTGGCGGTCAGGGAGCGGAGCTTCGAGCCATTGCCGAGTGCCGTTGTCGCGTACAGCCATCTCTCTTTCTGAGGGATCGGTTTGCCTTGGAGGTCGGTCGGAACGGGGCGCTTCGACGTGCGGTACTGAGATGTTTGCGCCGTGGCAGGCGGCGCTGCGCGCGCGCTCTCGGTTTGTGTTGAAGCCATGCTTCGTCTCTGACTCTAGACTGGGGAAACCGCGGACGGATGTCAAGTCGAGTGATTATCTCCTCGAGAGGGGAAGGGTTCTGAGAGTTTAGCCGCCGACCGTGGTGCGGGCAGATCTCATGGCTGTTATTTAGTTCGCCGCCAGAGCGGCCAAACGAGCCTCGGCTCGAAGCCGTCGCCTCGCACTAGGGATGGCGGGAAATACCCGTCAGACGCATCACTTGTGGCTGCGGCGGGGAGAACGAATGAACGCTCGTGACAGCTGCCATTCCATGCTCGCCGAGCATGACGCCACGGGTATCCCTATGGCATGGCATGACACGGGAGCGCATGTCCTTACGAAAGGCCCAAACATGTACCGCGATGGCCATCTGTTGTCTGTTCCTCCGGCTCCGATCCGCCTAGTTGGCCATCGAGCCATACGAGAGAGCCAATCAAGCGCCGAAAGACTGGGGCTTGCCGTGTCTCTGGGTTGCGGAAGTCGGCATTGGGTGGATGTACGGGGCCTGCGGGCAGATGGGCTTGAGCAGCGGGGCACAGAGGGCCTTGCCACCAGTTTATACGACTGGAAGGAGTTGGGCAAGGCATTTCCCCATCTCCACGATGATGCTCCTCCCATGGTGCCATAGCAAATGTCTTTCAACCACGCTCACGTGGACAGCCGAAATGTTTCGCAGACGCAAGACATCTGGACTTGTCGGACGTATTTTTAGCAACATGACTGGATCGTGTGTCACTTGCCCCAGGGCGAGAGAGCACCCTGTCCACTGAGACTACATGTAGTTCCCACAAACGTACCAAGTTACAAGACACTGAGGCGACTGCGCAGCTCCAATGTAGGCGTGGCCCGAGTTGTGATCATGTCAACTCGTGAGACCGCCGCACGGTCTGCGAGCTATGGGAGATGCGGGACGAAGCAGCGCGCGACACAATGGCTTCAAACGGCGATGCTCGGCTCGTCGCCAAAATTTGCGCGCGTTTCGGCCAGACGCATTGGCTGGGGGCACAGCAAGAAGTCGCCGGCTTCATTCTATGCACACATGCCTACATACACCCGCGGGTTGGATCGGGGCGCAGAAAGTGCGATAATGCCTGGAATGGAGCGCAAGAGAGCCCATGTCGAACCGCTTCCGGAAACGAGAGCATTGCTCACACAGCCCAAATGGTCAGAGAATTATCGACTTCGTCGAAGCAGACTGTCAAGATGCGGCGCAAAGATGCTTGACTGGCGAGGAGCGGGCGACTGGATGCATGTCGCGTCTTTCCACTGCAACAAGAGTATTGAACATGCTCAAGTAGCAGCTGTGCTTCCAGCCCGGCAACAGAAGAGATACTACTCTCCAACCTGGGTCGATGAAGGCCGTCGACTACCAGTTGTCGACTGTACCGTGGGCTATTAGCAGGTCGCCCACGGCATCCGGTTATAAAGGACCACACTAAGATGTCGCTATCATTGATCTACATGCTTTCCGGTGTCTCATCGTCTGCATGATCCAGTTCTCGTGCGATAATCTAGATGAGCATCGTGCCAAAAAACGCCACTGACACTGAAGATGGCGCTGTGGCACCATGTCAGCCCCGCCTTCAGGTTCTGGTCCGTAGACGAGAGTTGGAGGCCAGGCCTCCCTCCGATGCTTGGTCGGAGACACTCTGCTACCAGCGGCCGAGCGAGGGTGCGTCGATCTCGTTGGCCGCAGAAGATGGGCTTCGGCGGGGAATGGCAGTGCTGCCGCAAGTCGGCATTGAAGCCTTGGGGCCAGTGCTGTGTTCAATGGCCACCCGTGCCGATTCGGGGAATTTACCCCGCGGGATTCATATCTGACTGGACTGGGCGGCAGGGCACTCAACTGGCTGCCGGGGGCCTGATGCCGTGGCGGCGTCGGGGTCCCTTTCCCTTTTCGACTTACACGGCAACCCAACTGTGATGGTCTGCAGCAGGTCTGCAGACCATCACAGGTCCTACATTAACGCTCCATGTCCGGTCCGATTACTGTCCTGCGTGGCAATCTCTACATGTCAATATTCAAACCATCTCGGCCGCCCATTCTTTTCTCCTGCCTTATTTGCCTCACCTCATGGTTCGCTCACAAACGAGACACTGACAGTCATCGAGCATCACCACCGGCCGTCCGTCCACATCACCATGCCTCACGCCGCCGCCGAGCAGCTGCAGCCCACCATCGCGGGCGTCCACCTGCGCGTCAACGACGGGCCCCTCGACCCGTCCTCCGTCCGCCCCCTCCGCGCCTCCCACCCCTCCGAGCCGCTCGCCGCGCTCCGCGAGCGCTACGCCGCCGACGGCTACCTCTTCCTCAAGGGCCTGCTCCCGCGCGACGACGTCCTCGCCGCCCGCGCCGCCTACTTCACCAGCCTGGCGCCGACCGGTGTGCTCAAGCCCGGCACGGCGCCCGTCGACGGCATCTTCGACGCCGAGGGCGCGTCGGCCGCCGACTTCCCGGGCATCGGCGCGGGGAGCGTCAAGAACGCGCGCCCGGGGGGGTCGTCGTCGGCGCGGTCCGTGCTGTTTACGGACGCGGCGCTCCGGGCGCACACGGAGCCGTGGTACGCGGGCGGCGGCAGCAGCGAGGGTAGAGACGGCAGCGACGGCAGCAAGGACGGAGCAGCAGGCGGCAGAGGCACGCGTGGGTTCGCACGCCACCCGGCGCTGTACGACTTCGTGGCGCGCTTCTCGAGCTGGGGCGAGGACACGCTCGCTGTGCGGCGCTCGCTGCTGCGCAACAACACGCCGGGCAACAGGGCCATTGGCGTGCACTACGACCAGTCGTTTATGCGGTACGGCGAGCCGACGTCCGTGACCGCGTGGGTGCCGATGGGCGACGTGCGGCTCGAGGGCGGCGGGCTCATCTATCTCGAAGGAGGTGCGTCGCCGTCAGCCCACCATCTCTTCCCTCTCCCCCGAACCAAAGGCGGCCGATGCAGATCCCCGCCGCGGGAGGACAGTACGAAGCAGCTAACGGATGATATGCGCAAGGGGAGGCGCTGGGCGCACAGATCGAAGACGACTTCGCCGCCAAGGCGCGCGCGGCGGGCATGTCGGACGAGGAGACGCGCGACGCCTTCAACGCCAACATGATGAGCACGGGGTTCCTGAGCGACGGGCCGGCGGCGTTTGGCCGGCAGCACGGGCGGCGGTGGCTGGTGGCGGCATACGAGGCGGGCGACGTGGTGCTGCATTCGCCGCACATGGTACGTTGTGTCGGGGGGGCCTCGAGACATGTCTCCCGTCCCTAACCTCTCGTCTGTCTGAGGCGGCATGCGCTTACATTGTTGGTGTATTCCGCGTGGTATAGATCCATGCGTCGACCATCAACGACGACCCGGACAACCGCATCAGGCTCGGCACGGACCTGCGCTTCGTCAACTCGGCGCGGCCATGGGACACGGTGCGTTGCGCAAACTCCTCTCCCCCCCGAGCCACCCGTGACTGTTGCATAGAGTCTTGGGTCCTGACGAGTTGCAGCGGTGGTCGAACCACTACACGTTCGACGACGGCCTATAAGGTTGTGCGCGCAAGGAGGGCGGAACATGAACCTTGCACCACTGGTTCTCTCTGTCCCCAAGCTGGCATAGTTGTAGCCGCCCCTGTTGCTGCACTGCGACAGATACATGCAATGCAGGAGACAGACACCTTCTGTCAAGACTCAACGCCATCGAACTCGGCCCACTGCTCCCGCAGCGTCTTCTTGACGAATCCCGTCCGCCACTGCACGGCCTGCTGCACCCTGTCCAGATACAAGAGCGCGTGCTTGCGTTGCAGTGTATGACTGATGCAATATCCGCCTACATAATCCATTTTGTTGGTCGTCCAAGGTTCACATCAGCCCCGAGTGTCTGGCCGTCCATCGTACGAGCATGGTGTTTTCTCACTCACAAAAGTACAGCATGTGCGCAGGGAGGTAAAACGCATTCTTGGCATGGTCGTTGGCCAGCGCGAGGGCCATGAGGATCCCGAGATGGCGTGCGATGGTGCCCTGTGTCCATGTCTGCGTCAGTCACAGCCCTCCAAAAGTGTTCAGCAATCAGCACATGTTCTCTCGTCGACACGACCGGAGCGCATACGCCCCCTGACCAGCCAACCACACGCACACCCATCTGGCTTTCTGCCCTTGCCTTGGCCGCAGCGTACCCGTAGCCCACTGCCAGGGCGTTGCGTCGCTGTAATTGCGAGACGATCTCTGCCGCGAAGTAGGCCGATTGCTTCATTCCGTCTCGTGTCAGCTATCGTTTGGACGTTGCCAGTCATTAATCAGAGGGGGAGAGAGAGAGACTGTGTGGGTGTGTGTTTGTAAGAGAGAGATCAGCCGTCGACATACCGGGCACGCCCGCAATCATGTACAAGAGGGTAAACGGCCTGCCGCCCTCCAGATGCGCCTCGTCCCAGTGCCCCGGCACAAACGACGCCAGGCGGGCCTCATACCAGGCGTCCAGCTCTCCCTCCAGCTGGGCGAGGCCACCACCACCACCATGACCACCACCACGACTACCATCGTCGGTGCCAACCTTCCGCGCAGGAATGCACATCTGCAAGATCCGTCCAAACAGATACACCACCCGATTGGGGACGCTCTTGTCGTCGCCGTCGTCCTCAGCCTCATCCTCGTCCTCGCCACTACCACCACGGGTGCCATCGCGAGGCCCGCGCCTCACCGCCGCAGAGCCCTCAAAGGCACGCGGCGGAATGTCGATCCTCTGCTCGCGCACGATGCTCACGTAGATGGCCCGCCGGAGCTGTATCCAGCTCGCCGCCTCGGCTAGCCCTCTGCCGCCCTGCCGCCGCTGCTCCCGATGTTGTTGGTGCTGTTGTAGACGCTGCCGCCACCCTCGCTGCCCTTGCAGCTGCCCTTGCCGCCGCCGCCGCCGCCGCCGCCGCTCTCCTCCCTCCGCAGCGCATCGTCGTGGCTCGCCCACGCGAGGATCCCATACAGGACCATGCGCTCCCTCAGCGCGACGCGACGCACCTGCAGCGCAAAGTTCCGGGCTTTGTCACAATCAGGCGCATGAGCTCCGCCTCCCGTCGCGTGAGCAAGCCATTGGAAGTCGCACTCGCCTCGCCGTGGCGATCCTCAGCTGGAAACGCTGATGTTGGTGTCGTCGCGTCGATACTGCATGGCCACGTCGTCGTATGCTACATATAGTTATAAGAGGAACTATAGATACCCTTCCCTATGTCAAGTACGTTTATAGAACGCGTAGTTAACTTATATTAGCAGGCTTTAACAGTACATGTACAACGCTTATCTGCGCTATACCGTAAGGCATAGCAGGTGTAATCCTCGGGGCGAAGAGTTGAAGTGAATACAGATTACTGCACTCTTTAAGATAGCCGAGGAGAGACTCAAGAAGCAGGTCCCCGGAACCTAAATAACACAATATATTCATGGTATGGAACATGTACATGTCGCGCCCAGAGCAGCGGCGGCCCGGGCTTGGGCTCATCACAACGCAACGGCCGCGCAAGCAGACTCGGCGCTGCCTTGTACGTCCCGCCCCTTCTTGTCCTTGAGGAAACAATTCCCGCCCTGTCTTCCGACCTCGATTATGCTCGTCAAGTTGGAGTTGTACGTGACGCCCTGGCACTTGGTGCCGCCGCCAGACTTGGCCCTGCTGTTGTACTTGACGCACGCGCCCATGCAGTCCTCAAACGTGTACACGGTCGTCCGCGCAATGTCGCGGATCTTGCCCGAGCCGTCGGCCGCGTCCTCGCCGTTGGGCCAGTCGGTGAAGCAGTACTGCACAAAGGTCACGTCGTCGCCGGCGTGGTACGTCCGCGGCGCCGTGAAGTTGCAGCTGTTGTCGGCGAGCCCGTGCGTGCCCGAGGTGACGGCTGCCGTCGCCGCGGAGCCTGTTGTCGACGACCGCGTGCTACTGCTGCTGCTGCTGGTTGTGGCGGATTGTGAACCGGTCGATGATAAGCCCGTGGGCGTTGGTAATGGCGGCTCAGAAGGCGGCTCGGTGGTGTTGACGGGCTGAGCATTGGCGTTCTTCAGCCCGACGCCGACGCCAACGCCAATGCCGATGCCGAGCACAATCAGGATTATCAAGGCGACGACTATCCAGAACGCGGCGACGGGGAGGCCAAGGATTCGTTTTCGGTTGGTGTCTCCATTTTGTGCATCCTTTGTTGTTGTTGGTGGCACCACGACTTCCGGGGCCGCATCTCCCGTCTTCTCCCACGGCGCCAGTTGCTTGTACTGAGATGTGTCGCCATAGTATTCCAGAGGCGGCTGGTGCGTTGTCTGATTCGGCACTGCCTCTGGGCCGTAGCTATTCTGGAGCGGGTTACTGCCAGACATCGCGATCCTCATTCAGCTCCCCCGTCGACGACCAGCCGGGCCGGATAGGAGTTGTCCTCTTTTGAGCGGCGCAGCGAGGAGCTCGCCGAGAGTTTGCAAGGGCAAAAGAACCCCAGGGGCAGGCAAGCAGGCGGAAACGAAGGAGCCTCATGGGCGGCTACCATGGCAGCGGGCCGCGTTAAGCTTGATCATCGATCCCAATGTATTTCGCCCCCCCATCCCCTTTCATCCCATGGGAGAGCCGCCTTGCCGTCTTGATTGGCGACATGCACGCCGTGAGACCTAGGATGAAACGGGCCAAGGACGCGGGAAGCACCCCAGTCGCTTGGAGCGTCTACGCGCGCTTGTCCGACTCCCCATCGAGAGGGCGGCGGTTGTGCTGCTTGCTGCGTTTCAACGATCCAGACACCAATCTCACAACGGCCGCCAGGTCCCGAAGTGCATTCTACATCCCGGCTTCAAGTGACTCGGAACTCGTCACGAAAGATATTCTTGCCGTCGCCTCGATCGGCACAATACGCCGGGCGACACGAGCAAATTGCCTGCATGCTGCAGCTGGGTCGACCCTCAAGTAGCGTCGACTAGCTGAGCTGGGGTATGCTCACACGGGGTGATGGAGAGTCCTCGCGAATACCCGTCTCGCCCTGCGACGCTTCGCTCTGGCTCTGCAAAGGCATGTCCGCCGCGTGCCGCGTGCCCGGCGCCGAGTCGGCCCTCCGCCGCTCCAGAGGCCGTGGGCCTTCTTCTCCCTCAGCACCACCCTCAGCATCACCATCATCAGCGCCAGCACCACCATCAGCAGCCGCCGCCGCCCTCCTCACGGCCCTCTGGTCCCTAAGCTGGAACCTGCCCTCGAGGCAGCATTCCCGCCCGCCCTCCTCGCAGGCGCGGCACCGCGCGTTTCCCCCCGCCCGCACGACGCACTTTCTGTGTCGCGCCCGACACGACGCGCACCCGTGCGAGGCCTCATCATCTCCGGGCAAATTGCCTTCAACTCGGGCGAAGGGAGGGGGAAGAGGCGCATTCCCCTCCCTCGCCCGCGTTGCAGAAGGTTGCAAAAGGGCAAGACGGAAAGTCGGTTGCCGGGCGCTGCATTGGTCTGGACGGGATTCGAGTGCGGCAGCATCGTGGGAGCCGCAAGCCGCTGGTGTAAGGTGTACCCGCGGACGAGCTGGGTACTAAGTTGAGGGACGCAGCTCGAACTGCAACACCACTATTATGCGTGCGGGGTGATGCACCGGCAGCGTCCCTACGCCTCCCACCTCCCACTACACCCAGAGGGCGGACGCTCACCCGAACTGCGGCATGCTAGGCTGCTCCCTCCCAGTCTCTCGTCACATCTCCATGAACGCGCGAGATACATACGAAGTAACGTCAAGCCTAAACCTTGAGCTAACGTGGGCCACGACCCCGAGGCTTTGATTCAGAAGAATACCACATGTCATGACCATCAACAGACCCCGTGAGCATCAAACCAAGACTGCCTCTCTATTTCATTGCTGTTCTTCCCTCCTCCGCTGCCCATATATCCTACATGGCCCGAAAGCCCCATGGCCAGCAGCGTGTTTGTTGTACATGGCCATGGATGCATCAAGGTTTCTGTTTCCCTGCTCCTCTTCTCTTCTCTATCCCGTCCAACCAACAAAAAAAAAAAAAAAAAAAAAAGAGGTATCCTGAAAAAAGAACCTCTCACATCTCGCAATGGGCTCGCCAAACGCCGTTGTTATATCCAAAAGGGGGACCGACTGGGGAAGAGGGGGGCTAAAACATTACGTGATAAGGGAAATGGTGAGCCAGTAGGCGGCAGCCGTGCCTGTTGTCCGATGGCGTGCTGTGGAGGATGGAGTGGGAGAACTGCATAGCTTTCCGACCGTTCTTTAGGGTATTATCATTATTCTCCGGGCCTTGTGCTGCGAAGTCGCTGTGAGGGGGAAACAATGTCTCATCGAAAAAAGTCGAGGGAAGGGACTCGTCGCGTCCCGAGGTATACGTGCATTGCATTGTAAAGTAAAAGGAAAGGGACAGGGGTTGAACAAAAAAGAGACCTGCAGGTGGCTTCAAGGCAAAGAAGTAATAGCAAGCGCACTGGATTGTGTCTGAAAATGCAGCTTCTTCGTGTGCGGGTGCCAGGCTTGCATCAAGACGTAACGCGAGGGTCTCCAAAGTATTGCATCGTGCCCCAGTCTCCTTGGGTAGTATTCCCTTGCGGTTGGGGTGTGGTGTTGGCGCTGATCGCCACGGCGCCGGCAAGGCTTTCCCAATCTTCAAAGACAACGGGGGCCGGAGAGTACTCAAAGTCCATCATGGAGTCGCCGGCGCCGGCGGGCGCCGGATTTGACGAAGCAGGCAGCTGCGGCAGCTCGCGCTGCTCCAGGGGTGAGTGTGAGGCGGCCAAGGGGGACTGAGACGATGCCAGGGGCGAATGCGAACTCGATTCGGGCGACGGCCGCGACGCCGTCGAGAACGGCTGGGACGGCACAAACATTGTGCTTCGAAACGGAGACGTGTACGGGCTCTGCTGGCCGTTGGGGCTCGTCGACGGCAGCATCGACTGGTGCGCCTGCGTAGGCAGCGGCTGGAAGGACATGTGCGGATCGTGCTGCTGCGGAGGGAAATGCTGCGGCGGCGGAGGAGGCATGCTGGTTGAAAACTGCGGGGATGGCGTGGGCGGCACGGCGACGATGTCGGCCAGCTCAAACGCTGACTTGACGATCCACCGGGCCTCGCCCTCGTCGCCCGAAAAGAACTCGAGGAGATCCTGGAGCTGTCCGTTGTTCTCCTTCTCCAAGAAGCCCTGGGCGCGGCCGGTCCTGCTCGGGTGCCAGCTGAACTGCGGGCGGCGGCCCTGGTACTCGGCCAGCTTGCTGTTGACCAGGGCGTCCCAGGCCTCGTGGATCAGGGGCTGGTGCAGCAGGCCGTAGACGACCCTGGAGTGCATCCAGTCGCCCTTGGTGAGACCCGACTCGAAGTGGCGGGCGACGTGCTCGACGTGGCGCTCGCGGGCGGGGTGCAGGGCGGAGCAGAAGCCGCAGGCCCAGTACTTGCGCTTGCGCAGGAACTTGACCACCTTTTCGGCATGGGGGCACGTCTTGCAGCCGTGGCACTGCTTGTGGTGCTGGTTGAACGAGTTGGAGCCCCAGAAGCTGCGGTTGCAGCCGGGCTCCGGGCACGGGTACTTGCGCCAGCGCTCGTGGAACTCGTCCTCGTGGCGCTTCCAATCGTACTTGCGCTTGAAGCTCGTCTCGCACGAGGTGCACCAGTAAATGTTTTGGCGGTTGGGACTGGTGGCGGTGGCGGCAACGTGCGTGCCGTTGAGCATCGGGACGCCAGCGCTTGGCGGGGGCATCGGCAGGGGCGCCATCGACCTGCCGCCCGTCGTGCCCGAGTGCCAGGAAAAGGAAGACTGCGCCGAGTTGGTGGACCATATGGAGGCGTGGCCCGACGAGCCCGAGCTCACCGAGGAGATGGATATGCGAGGTCGGTGCGCGTGGGTAAACGGCGCCGAGGGCGGCATGAAAATCGACGCATCGACGTCGGCCACCGAGTTCGGCAGGGGGCGGTCGCCCGGCGCGTTGGACGTCAGCGTCGAAGACGAGGACCATGGGCCGGAGCAATCGTCGGCCAGCGCATCGGGCTTGGACGGGGCCGACGTGGGCGCCTGCGTGGTCGTGGACGGCAGAGGCCCGGTGACGGCGACCATGGACGTGGGGCCCGTTGTCGAGGCCGACGGGACATGCGTGGGCGGAGGCGGTGGCGGGCACTGAGGCGGCGGCGGCGGCGGTGGATGCTGAGGAGCAAGTAACGATTGTGACGGCTGTGTTTGCGGTTGTGATGATGAAACGAAGGACGGGTTCGCTGCTGGAAACGAGAGCTGTAGCGACTGGCTGTCGTCGACCCATTTGTGAAGGAGGTCCTTGGACAGGCCGGAATCGATCAGGACCTGCAGGTTCTTGCGCGCCTCGGCGAGGACGTCTTGGGGCGTGGCATCCGCTTGCTGCTGCTGTTGTTGTTGCTGCTGCTGCTGCTGGCTGTGCTGCGACGGCGACGAAGACGGCTCCTGCTGCGACGGCAGCGGCGTTGGCCGAGGGAGTTGGTTGTTCTGGCTCTGGTCCATGATGGATAGCGAGGGCCTCACATCGAGCATGAGTCGACGGACGGTTCAGCGGCGAAGACAATAAGCGAGAGGACGGCGACGACGATGGCGACGCTCACAAAATCGGATGGGCAAAACGAACGTAGAAGGACGAAGGGGGGAGACAGCGCGGGATGATTGAGTCGAGAGGTGAGGTGGGAGGGGGGAAAGAAGACAAGAAAGACTGGGATAGGAGGAGCGGGAGCGCGAGGAGAAGAGAGGAACCAACGACGGGCAGGAGAACGTGGGTGTAACAGGCCCGGGAGACCGACAAGGAACTAGGGAGGTGGTGGTCGGCGGTCCTGGGGAGAGCGCGAGTGTGTGAGGGGACCAGCGACCAGGCACGGGAAACGGACGAGCAGGGTTGGTGCGCGCGCGCCCAGGTGCCGCACTGCCAATGCAGGTCAGGCGCGAGCAATGACCACGCAGGTCGAGGCGAAAGCAGACAGGCAGGCAGGCAGGCAGGCCACAAGCAGGCCGGCGGGCGGGCAGCGAGACAGGCAGACAGGCGGACAGGCGGACGGATAGACGGGCATGGAGGCAGATCAGCCGGGGGGGGCGGGCAATGCTGTGCCTGAACTTTATGGATTCAAGGAACAACCTGGAGGTTTTGCATGGAGATCCGCCCAGGGCCTTGTCCAGGTCCAGGTACCAAGCCCAGGGGGACGCAGAGGTACAACGGGCATTGGGGCTTGGTGCGCAATGGGACTCCATGCTTGGCTCGAGTGCTAGTGCCAACAGGGAAGGGGATTCTCCGCGCGTAAGTATTAGTATTATTATTAGTACGGGAGGGGAGGGGGCGCCAGGGGGTGCCGGGAGGTGTGCGTGGGAGGGAGTGAGTGAGCGTGTGAGTGTGTGTGTGTGTTTGTGGTGGGTGAGCGCGCGCGCGGGCGCGCATATGTGTGTGTATGTGTGTGTGCGCGTATCTGTGAGCGAGGCGCTCGCCAGTGTCGTCGGGTCCCCGAGGCTTCGAAAGCCGCTGTCCTTGCGGTGCTCTGCGCTGCTGGCTGATTGTCGTCTCTTGGGGGAGGAGACCGGACATGCACGGAGTATCTCGTCCTCGGGCCCCGGCCAAGTAGGCATGTACATGCAGTCACTCCATGCCTCACATGTGTGTATATACGCACATACGCACACGCGCACACACAGACATGCGTACATGCGTCCATGCACGTCCGTCAACCGTCTGCGCGGGACGCCAGGGGATCTCGAGTCCAAGGCGTTTGTCCTGCTTCGCCCATCTGTGCGCTGGCGGGACGCCGCCGTGACCGCGGGCTTGCCGCCGTGGCAGGAGAACGCATGACCAGCCGTTTTTCTCGATGGTCAATTCATGCACAACGGCACAGCTGTCGTCGGGCGACTCGACGGCGCTCGCTGTCGCCGAGATTCGCGTCCAAGTCTGCGAGTGGCACCTCTGGCCATCTCATGGCTGACGGCAGCAATCGTCTGAGGGTCAGGCTTTCCATGAGTCTGCCAAAATGACGGGCTTTGATGAAGGATGGGGGCCGAGGGGGCGTGCGCCGACAAGGCCCCAGCGCTCGTTGCTTTGTCGCCTCCGGGCTGCCGGCCTGCGCAGGATCGAGTCGCGCGAGCGAGCGAGCACATGTGCACAGGGCTCGCAGATAGGACCTACTTGCCTTGCGTAGTATGTGAAGCCCAAGCACGCTGCGGAAGCGCGGAACACAGGCAGCGCGGCGCGACAATCCCGTGCTCGGGCTCGCACCTGGCAGGCAGCTCCAGCCCACAAGGGGCGCGCCAACGAGCACAGCAGCCGACATGGACGGCGTGCTTCACGTTTTGGCGGCGGGGTGGATCCTCTCTCTTCATTGATGAGCAGCTGTTATGCAGGCGTGCATGCATGGCAGCATGGAGATGGCCGGATTGGGCGGTGGGTTGGGCCCTTGGGGGCCGGCAGGGCGTCAGGTCATGGACGTGGCCGCACGCATCGCCTGGGAAATTTCGTGCGCCCATCCTGTCCCTCCATCCGTTCCGTCGGTTGATAGACAAGGCCATTGTCGCCTTCTGGGTCCTTTGCCGGCGCGTGTCTTGCCCTCGTGTGTGTCTCGTGTGGCTCGTGTCTCGTGCCGCCCACATTCGGGAGGGCATTGACGGCGACAGCGACGACGACGACGACGACGACGACGACGACAAATGCCATCGGCCATGCCCGTCCGCCCGTCCGTCCCCTCGAGGTGCCCCTGGGTGCGGCATGCAGCAGGCGGGGTGGGCCAGGCGAGTGGGCGCACAACATCGTCAGCCACCTCCAGCCGGGCCTGGGGCAGCTCCCCGTGCGTGACGAGGTGTGATCGGCCGCCAGTGCTTATCCACCACCCACCCACCCGGTCGTGGGCATCCTAGTACGAAGTAACTTGTGGTTGTCCAAGTGTCTGTCGCCTGCGAAAGGACTCGACGACCCGAATGGGCCGTGGCGCGTTCCAGAGGCACGGATCGGGGGCCGCTGCTGGGTGCTTCTTGTTTCGCCATGTCGCTGGCGGCGATCCCCAAGCAGTGTTCCGCCGTCGGCCCCAGGCACGTGTCAAAGAGGACCGCGCAGAGACCGTGTCTCGTCCGCATCTGCAAGCGCTCTGGTCTGGCACCTCGCGTGCAAGCGCTCTCCGGTCTGTACGCGCCCGTTTGTCGTCGTTTGCCTTGGGTCGACGGGGTTGCACAGAGACGGGACGTGGTGCGTGACACAGGCCGGACCTGAGTCGGGTGGTCGGCGGCTGTCACCAGCAGCATCCCAGCGCTGCCGTTGGGATTGGGATGCCCTCGGTGGACGATTCCGTGACTCTGCGACGCCGTGCATGGCTGCGAGGCAAGGCCGGCAAGTGTCGCGAGGCGATGCAGTGTGCGATGCTGTACCGTAGCCCCTGCCAGCCAGTGGGCGGTTGAATGCATACCGAGTACGTACCTCCTGACGTCGTTTGTCAGGGTTGCTGCGAGGCCAGGGATTCACCCGGCATGCGGGAGCGACTTTCGCATCCTTGCATGCTCGTAGCTTGGTCGCCTGTCTGCTTGCTTGCACGTTGCTACCAAGTACGAAGTTGCCGTCCCCAAGGCATCCAGGCCACCAAGGCAGAGAGAGAGAAGTTTGTCAGCGTGCCTGGGTTTGGTCCCCGGCGGGGAAGGAGCAGCATGCCGCTTTCCAAACACGTCCCTGAAAGTTGACACCAGCAAGCAGGTATTATGTACGGATACTCTGTGCCTCGTTCCTGCCTCTCTTGTGGCGAGGGGGTCCCTTGCTCTTGCCTGCGCCTGCCTGTTCTTGTCTGCTCTTGCCGTCGCGGCCAATCCTGTCTGCTGCGTGCTGCCCGAATTGTCTCTTCTGGCTCTGGCCCTAGCTCTAGCTCTCTGCTCTACTCTGCTCTGCGTCTGCTTCTGGCTCTGCTTCTAGTTCTGGCTCCGTCCTGATTAGCTCTGGCTCTGACTTTGGGTCTAAGAGCGCTCGCGGCCAAGGCTCTTGCCAAACGACCAATACTGGCGAGGAACGGCAAGACTCTCCCTCTCCGCCACCTGCGTCCCTGTCCCTGTCCACCCCGCGGAGCTCGATACCAGTACCTGACTACATACTACTCCGTGAGTCCGTACCTTATGCTCACTGCCTTCCCCTCACAGTAGGTACCAGGTAATAGGGGCGCTTTCCTGACGAGCCCGCATCCATGCTCCCGCGTCCCCTTTTCTCTTGCAGTCCGTCCCTTGCCCGACTTCAGCCCATGCAACGTGTGCCAGCTACTCCTCAGACTTTCGTTCCGTTGCCTCCTCCGGCCCCCGTCAAACCCCCTCCCCCCGGCCGGGATTCGCTGCCTCGTGCCGCCCCCCATCGTCACCATCTTCACCACCATCTTCACAGCCCATGTCCGCATCGCCTTGGCTCCCCGTCTGCTTTCTTTTTCCTCGGCTTCATTCAATCGTCACGGGGCCATGACCCCATCTCGCTCGCTGCCGTCTTGCGGCCCTTTTTCCGGCCAGCATCATCTCCGACGTCTCGCAAGCCAGCCGGCCAACTCTTGTGTGTTCCTCGCGATGATGCCGCCCACGCCCTCCTTGCCAAGTACCTAGCAATGGCCTTCCTGCTTCCACATGGAGCAGCACACTGCACGGCGCAGCCGCATCAACACCTGAAACATGACGCCAGAGGTAGCCTGGCGCCCCCCTCCGTTCGGGGAATCCGCAGACATGCGGCAGCGATGACGAACTAGTCCTGCTGCAAGTTTTCTGTCCTCTGGCCCAAGGTTCTGGCTGACACTGCGTCCCAGGGCTCGCCTTCGCGCCACGCTTCGGCCGGCTGTTTCGAAACACCTCGATGAGCTCCTGGCAACGACGAGATGAGCCAATGGCAAACTGCCCAGGAGAGCTCAAGGTTCCGCACTGGCCGTTCCCCACCATGGCCCAGACAGGCACTGCGAGACGATGTGACGGGCCTCGGGCCCCCCCTCCTTCTAAACCCTTGTCGACAAGGCGCCATGGCGCCCCTGTCGGCTGCCGACGGGTACCTGGTTTGGTGGGCTGGCTCTGTGCTGTGCTGTGCTGCTCTGCTTTTGCGCTGCGCGGCTCCACACGGCTGCTTCGCAGATGTCTTCGCGGCTGGGGCTGGGACTCGCCCCCGGCTAAAGAACCTTTGCTCGTATGCACGGAGGAGGTACGAGCATCGCACGACCACGACTCATGGTCCTCTTGCGCTACTGAACGTTATCCTCACCCGTCCCACGACCAATTGCTGATAGCTGCGACTAGGTCATGCAGCAGCGCGACGACTCTCCACACGCCGACAGGCTATCAACAAGCTCGACCAAATGCAATTCAACAGCTGTCGGTCCGGTTCGCCCTCAGCTAGCCATGTCATTCACGAAGGGGGGCGCGGCGGGGAGAAAAAAAAGGTGGTCGTGTGGCTTTTGTTCTGGCCAACAATGGCATTCTATCGGCCGAAGCTGGCCCCAGCAATGTTCGTCTTGCTCCGTCACCACTTCTCATTCCGCTCTTTCATGCCTCCTTGACGTGACCGTGCAGGCCAGGCCTGGCCGAGGACGCAACGCACTGAGTATGAGTCCGTACAGTACGCGTTACTACAATCATACGCGTTGGCTTGGCCTCTTTTCTTGGACAACTGCTCTTGGTCTACGACTCGGCGGCCGAGGCACGAGCCTATGGATCGCTCGGCCCAAGACTGGTCTCGCGTGAGCGCAGGGTACCATGTGGCCTTATTTGTCATGCCCAGTAGGTATTTTGCGGCGGTCTGTGCCATCGCAACTCGATGCAAGAAATAAGTCACGGCGCCTGCACTCCTATTTTTTCCATGGTCCGTGGATCTGCACGGAATTCACCGCCAACATTGTTGTCGTTGCCGAACCGAAATCTCGGTGGGTATTGGCGAAACGATGGGCCTGAGGCCGCCGGCACGCCTGCTCTTGGTCTGCCTCACGACACGGTCCAAGGCTCTCATCTCATGTCCCCGATGGCCGAAATCAATGATCAGCGGACGGGGTGCCTCCAAATGGGGAGGGAGCGTCATGTCAGTTCGCTGCCGAATTTTCCCTATCCAGCAGCACCGGCTATGTTGCGGAGTACTGCCGCGAAGAGTGTAGGCGTCAGGTCCTCCATCGCCCGTGCGACGCTTTGCGGATGGCGCCGTCTTTGCGGGCTCCAGTAGATCATGCACGGGAAGCGGATCCGCAATGACGCCAGGCACACAGCGCGCTTTGGAGGGGGTCCGGGTCAAGATTCGGTCGGGGCCACAGCGAGATGGGGACGGCCTCCTCACGGCAGCGACGCCGTCGTCGAACTGCACGCTGCCACCGTACTGTTGGAATATACCTTTGCACATACATAATAATACATATGCTTTCGTCTCGCCAGAGGGCGGTCCACTTCCCGCTCGGGCCGGCTGCCGGCGGTGCAATCACTCATCTCTTTCGCAATGTTGCCGTGTACGTACAGCAAAGACGCGCCGCTCTACGAGTCGACGCGCTCATCAACCCACCCCACGAGGAAGCCAATTTCCCCTTTTCCACATGTGGGCTTGTTTTTGTGATCTTTTTTTTTTTTCCTTCATCAAAAATCGTCCCCGCTCCGGTCTCGTGGCCGGATGGTATGTTGCAGAGAAGAGCAACCGATGGAGCCGAGCCATGGGACGGGCGTAGGTTCTGGCATCCAGAACCAAGTACTACGGATGGAGTAATCCGTACCTTTGCAGGGAGTTATGGAGCTGCTACTTGCACAAACTCACGGTACTCGTACAGACAGACAGACATCATCATATTGCTACCTACGTGCATGCTCGTACGAGTACTTGTACACATGTACACCTCAGTGGGTTATCTTCTTTTTATAGACTTCTAGGTGATGCTCCGCCTCGGCTGGGCGAGCAAAGAGGGAACGCGCGCTGGCTGCACAGCCTTGTTTTCGAACTTTCGAAACGCTCGGCTCCAGGTCTGTGCTCGGGCTGGGGCAGGGAAAGGGGGTAGCATGTAGGGACTACCATGTCGAGCGCGCGCGCGAGGTGGGTGAAGGGGGAAGGGTTCGTCGGGTTCGTTCGCCAAACCCATGCCATGGGCACAACCGAATTCTCCGAGCAAGTCTGGAAATCCGAAAGCCGACTCCACCTGCATGGCCCCAAAGATGAAACACCCGCCTCTCGCCCTCGCTCAGCCCCGAAGCCTAACACCAAAAAAATAAGGGCGTCAAATCCAGCCGCCGACCGGCCAGATCCCGCCGCGATCGCCTCGCCGTCCCTCTCAGACACCAGGACCAGGGTTCGTCCGTGGGCGCCGTCGTCTCTCGTCTCGGCCGGGCACTGCCACGCCAACTCAGATCGGCGCCGCGCCCGCTGCCCCATGCCGTGCCATGCCATGCCATCCCACCAGTTCGCCCGTCCGAGCCTGGCCCAACTCGATCGACTCTAGGAAAAAAAAAACACCTTGCACTAGTAGTACACCTTTATGTCTGCATGTATGGATCTCGCATCGCAGGGTCCTCCCCGGCAGCGGCCTCGGGCTTCGCGCCACGGCCGTGCTTTCTGCGGTTCCGCGTCGAGAGGCCCCCGGACCTTGGAGCGCGCGGCAGGGACCGAGGCCGCAAAAGCACTCAAACACGGGGGGGCCGCAGAGCCGCGGTCGTCGGCAGTGCCAGGGATCTCCTCGCGCGGCTTGCACAGCCCATCGCATCGCGTCTTGGCCGATCCGACATGACCCTGCCATCGGGCTTGGCCGGCACCTCGACGGTCCAAAGGTCTGAACTTTGAGCCGGGTACGTAGCCGCATCGAGAGGTCGGCTGTTTCACCAACGACGCCATCTACCAATGTTTCGACAACGCGGGCCACCAGCGGCCGCCACGCTTGGCCCCGACGCTCCAGCCACCGCGCAAAAATGTTGTGGAACTGCACGGTGAGGTCATGGCCTCGACGAGACACGGACAGAGGAAGCCGTGGCAATCGCCGCGCTGTTGCGGGCGCGGGGCAAACCCCCCGACCCGTTGTCATCAGGCGCTCGTGCTGAAGTAGTAGTTCTCCCACAGGTATTCGTAGTCCTCGAGTATGCCGGCGATGAACCCCGGCATGCGCCTGGTGACGCCGCCGACGACGCTCTTGGTGACGTTGTCATAAAAGGCGCCGCGCATGGTCCACCAGCCCATGGCCCAGCCTCTCTTGTTCCACTCGTCGCGCTCCAGCGTGGTGGTGCGCAGGCTGCGGTCGCGGAGCTGGCGCGCGGCATACTCGACGGCCAGGCCCACCAGCCACGGCGTCCACGACTTCTTGTTGCGGCTGCGGGCGAGGGCGACGGCGTAGACGAGGGGCGCGAGGATGTACAGGACCTCGGCGGCCTGCCCGGCGCCCTGGAGGGTGTTGAGGAGCTTGGCGGCGGGCTTGATGTCGTCGGCGGTGAGGACGCGGCCGAGGAGGTAGGAGCTGATGTCCCCGGGCTCAGGGAGCGAGGGGAGGCTCATGCCGGTCCTGGGCATGGTCCATTCACGCTCGTGCGGCGGCTTGTGGCTCTGGGGGCCGCCAGGCACCTCCCTGGCGGCGGCGCTATCCGGCGCCACCTCGTCCATGAGCTCGCTCTCGCTCCGCGACGAGGCCTGTTCGTCGGCGCCGGCGGCGAGGGCGTCGTCGTCGTCGACGTCGTCCTCGGGTATGGGCTCGCGCTCAGGCAGGCACGGAGTGACGAGGGGCCGCGAGCGAGTGACGCGGAGGAGGAGCAGGCGGCAGACGGCCTTGATGGCCTCGAGGAGGACGACAACCCTCCAGCGGGCCCGCTCGCCGCCGCGGCGCTTGGCCGACATCTCGCAGAGCAGCTCAGTGTAGACGACCATTTGCAGGAGCATGGCGACGCGGCGGTAGAGCTTGCTCTTGTGCGCCCAGAAGCGGGTGTAGCGGGCGTGGGCGGAGCGGACGGGGGGCACAGGGAGGCGCGATACGGCGCGGGAGAGGAGGGTGTCGTGATAGAGGGAGAGGAGCTGGACGCCCGAGTGTATCGACTCGGACGCGATCTCGGCGTCGCGGAAGCGGCCTGCGGCAAGTTTCTGCGTTAGCTTTTGCTTTTCGTGGCTCGCGCGACGGCACGGCATGAAACGGGGTGGCAAAGCCAATTCCAGTTCTGCCGTTGATGTCGCCTGCTCTCCCGACGACGACGGCTGCTACTGCCGCTCTGGAGGCAAACAGAGTTTCAGGCCTCGTCGAGACGGGGGCTACGTACCGGGGATAATGTACGTCAGGCTCCGCAGGGCGCTCTCAATCTGCGACACCTGGCCGGCGTTCTTGGTGATGAAGTCGTCGTACATGGCGAGCCACTGCGGCGGCAGGCTGAGGATCTGGCCGGCCGTCGGGCGATGGCGCGGCGGCGGCGGCACCGCGGACGACATGGTGCCTGCGGGAATTGCGAATAGGCAAGCTGGCTCGTGTGCAAAGGGCGAACGACGTGGTCGGCGTGCTTGATGGACGATGGGATGACACGGGGCGCGCGGCTTTGTCGTTCAATCTAGTAGCCGCGGCACGGGGGGGGCGGGATAGATGAAGAGGAAAGGGCTCGGTTCTCGTCCTCAACACGACATCGCCGTGGTCTTGCTCGCTCGCGATGGGAACGGACGGGTTGGAGGGGACAAGAGAGAGCCCTTTCGCGATGCCCGGCAGAGGACGTCGTGGCGGGAATGGATGGATGGACGGTGAAAGCTGAGGCGCTGCCGCTTCTGCTGCTGACGATGACGATGGAGCGGCCCGAGGTGCGTCCAGTCGTGTGGGAGAGACCCAGACACGGACAGGACAAGACGGGGGGGGGGGCAGTGAGAGCTTGTCGCTGGCTGCTGGGCTACCCCGGGCCGAGGTTCGATTCCATTGGTCGGCACTGGTGGGTGTTGCACGGGGGCGGCGGCTGGGGCGGGTCGTCCATCAGCGCCCCGACGGCCGGATGCGAGAGCCACACCGACAAAGGCGAATTTGCGCGCAGAGTGCAAGCGGCCTACCCTGCACAGAGCCGGAACCGAGCGGATAATGGTCTGCATGGGCGATCGTAAAGCCGAGTAAACAATTGAGATGCGCAGCGAAATTTTCATGTTTGTTTTTTTCTGACTGACGATAATTTTCTCATCTTTTTCGATGTCCAAAGGTTGGGGTGCCTGAGGTTGTCTGTCTAAGAGGTGTGGGATGGCATGAACGTGTTGTTCACTTGTCGTGCTGGAGGTTGAAGTGTAAGCCCAGGAAGGGCAACACCAGGCAACCAGCTCCAGTATTCCTCGTCTGGCAATCCATCATCAGACAGACACCTTGATTATTCCCGTCTTAGTCCATAGCATGGCATGACGTGACAAAGCATGTACACACGCTGCAGTGCATTCGACACATACACACACAACACACAGGAGCCCAAGAAGCGCAAGAGCACGCGCTCTCGATTCATCCATCAAGGAACTCCCAGCTAGAATTTCACAGACGGCGACCACGCACCATACCGCCGCGCGGCGTCTGCGTCTTCATCTTTGTCCTCATCCTCGTCATCATCAGCCCGAATAGTACACAGTCCAAACGACGAAACCCACCCTCTCTATTTTGCTCCACGGAAACGCACAAGGCCCTCCCAACCACATCACATGTCCCCGCCCGGAAAGGAATTTCCAAACGCCTTGCCAGCCGGATGTCATTGTCGGCGTCCCTCCCTCATCCCTTGGACCCCTGGGGGCTGGGGAGACAAGGGGAACCGAAGCTGGCCATGATGCCAATCCTCCTCTTTTGCCATGCGCTCTCGCCATTCCGTTGAACGAGAGGCGGGCCATATCCCAAAGGGGAAACCTCACACTACAACTCCTGCTGCTCCCGCCAGAAAATCACTATAGCCAGGATAGTAAGAAGAAGAAGCAAAGACCAGAACCCCAAGTCCCCGTGGGCCACTACCAACGGGCGGAAATGCATCATCACGACGCCGTGCCCAAGCCCCCTTCCCAGGACACCTGCTACAGCACCGCAAAGCCCGCCTCCTCAATGTCCTTGCCCGTCGGCAGCACGGGGCGGCCCTGCATGGGAAACGGCCAGAAGAGCGGGTTGGCCATGCTCTCGGCGGTGCGCTCCACACCGGCCCCGGCTGTCGCGCCGCCGCCGCCGCCTCCGCCGCCCTCGACCACGACCTTGCCCGTGCCCCAGTCGCAGATAAAGTCCTCGCGCCCGACGTTGGGCGCGAAAAAGTTGAGGCTGCTCGTGTACGGCCGCACCAACCGGTCGTACTCCTCCGGGTTGAGGTTGACGCCGCCCGTGTTGATCTCGACGTCAATGTTCCACTTCTTGGCCAGGTACCGCAGGATGTTGAGCGCCTGCTCCGCAAAGTGGTGGCACGGCGCCATCTCCGTCAGATCCGCGATGCCCTGCTTGAGCGCCTCGCTGACGTGCGGGTCGATCTTGGCCGCCGCCTTCATCGACTCGTCCGGGCTGCGGCCCCCGCGGTCGTCGAGCCCGCCTGGCGCCCCCTTGCCCTCGCCCGCCTGTGCCGACGCCGCCCCGATGGCCAGGTGCATGATGGACGACGTCAGCACAAAGTAGGGCACAAATGACGGCGTCCGCTGCAGCGTGTACAGCTGCGAGTACGACGTCAGCAGGCCCTGGATCGCGTCCGCCGCCTGCGAGCACACGTCCCGCGGCAGCACCTTGGACCCGATGATTCGAAGCTTGATGAGCGGCCGGAACAGCAGCAAGATGGCGAAATGGTAGTACATGCTGTGGTTGGCGAGGGGGGCGCGAGCACGCCGTCAGCATACATACAAGAGCCCATCTTCACCACTGACACACACTCGGGGGGTTGACTCACTGCGCAAACAGCACGGCCGGCGTAAAATTGTGGCCGAGCCGCAGCACCTCGGGTATCCTGTCGTACCAGTTCAGGTACTGCGTGTAGATGCTCAAGAGGTCCCGGGCCGTCAGCGGCTTGCCGGGCGAGTGCAAGATGTACAGCGACTCGTGCACCAGTTCGCTCAGCTCGCAGAAACACTTGTACACGGACCGCACGTTGGACGGCTGCTCGCACGACCGCTGCAGCGGCGCGCCTGGAGACGGTGTTAGTGAGCCGTCCCGGCCGCGCCGTCTCCGGTCCGTAGGCGGCTTACCGTCGTCGGTGTATGGCACCCATAGCGAGGCTTCAATGTCCATGATGATGGCGGGCTTGGGCGGGAGGTGCGGGAAGCACGAGCACTGCGGCAGGGAGCCGGTGGCCAGTGACCACGCGCTGGAGACGCCAGCTCGTCAGCCTCCGCTTTTTGGAGGTAGTTGTGGGATTTGGGTATCGGCGATAACTCACTGATCGAGGGCGAATGCACCCCAAAAGGTCGCTGACTGCACGGCCAGCTCGTCCTCGTCCCCCTCGTCGTGGATGCGGTGCAGGCCCATCTCGATGGCGAGCCGAATGCTCTGGCCGGCATAGTACCAGCTCTCCGAGTCCCGCCCGCAGCTGGCCTCGCGAATCGACATGATGCCGAGGGCCTGGATCGTCGTCAGGGAGTGGTGGTCCGTCTCTTGATAAAAGAGCCGCTGGGATTCCTTGAAGAAGTGGTCGCCCGAGGAGTAGGGGTCGTTTGGGTTCGCCCGCGTCATGGGCTGCCTCGAGAAGCGGCAGCCGAGCGCGAGCAGGGCGTTGACGAGTATGGGCGAGCAGTAACGGTGGCGGGCGTCGCGAAAGTCGCGCAAAAAGTGCTCCTTGCTCAGCGACGCAAACGTGGGATACTCCCAGCAAAAGTAGAGCGCCAGCAGGTGGTGGACGAGGTTGATGTCGTTTGTGATGGAGGTCCACGTCTCGGCGGAGCGCCCCGTGTCGCCGCTGAGGGGCGAGAGGATCTGCTCGAGCCCGCGGTATCGGGGCATCGAGTCCGACATGTGGTCCGTGTCCATGCTCTCGGCGGCCCAGGACCCGACCCGGGACTGCGGCGGGCGGCGGACGTCGGGCGCCCAGTTCATGACGTCCGGATGCGAGCTGCCCCTGGACGACCCGACGGCGCCGTGCGGTGAAAAGTGCCACGAGCCGCCGACGACCGACTCGTTCCTCACGGTGGGCAGCTGCGCCCCGATGGGACTCAGGTTGTCCATGCCGAGGCGCAGAGGCGGCAGCGTTGGGCCGGACATCGAAGACCCGGCAAAGAGCGACGCGGAGCTCGGGCCGGCGCCGCTCAGGTCGTGGTCTCCGAGGCGGCTCAGGACGGGCAGGGGGCCGCCTCCCGAGGGCAGGACGCCGCCGAGCCATTCCGAGATGCGGTCAATGGACTGCCCGCCGCGCAGCCTCTTCAGGACGTCCTCCCACAAGTCGGGGCGGACGAGGGCGGAGAAGACGGCGTCGCTGGAGCGCTGGCGATGGCGCAGGCTCTCGATTTCGGTGCGGAGGTTCTCCTTGGACTGGCGCACGGGGATCTCGTAGACGCACTCGACGTCCTTTTGCAGCTTGCAGCGGCCGCATGGCTTTTGTCCGTCGCACTGCGAGAAGGGGGGGCAAGAGCCCAGTGGTCAGCACGCACTGTACATACACGCACACACGCACGAAGAGAGAGAGAAAGAGGGAAGGAGAGAGATGGAGGGAGAGGGGGAGGAGAGAAGCTAGAGCGGGGAACGCAGGGCTCACCTTGGCGCGCTTCTTGCGACACTCGGTGCAGGCATTGGGTGTGACGACGCCGAGGCCGCGTCTCCGCTTCGAGTTTTGGGCACTCGACGTGGAGCCGGGCGTCTTGCCTGCGGTGGCCTGCGAAGTCGAGGCTGTGGTTTGGGGTGTGTTGCCCGTGCTCGGCTGGCTGGGGCCAGAGGGCGTCTGGCTGCTGCTCTCTCGACTGTCCATGGCGACGAGGAGGAAGAGGAGGAGGAGGGGCGGCGGCGGTTCGGGGGGGGAGGTGGAAACGATGCGCCGGCGCGCAACTCAACTCACTGGGCGATCCAGAGTCGTGCTTTGTTGGTCTTGTATCGGCGCGACGTGAACGACATAGTGTGGAGGCAATGCGCAGCCCGGTGACGTGAGGGAGCTATCGCGAAGGTCCAGCGAGATGGGTGTGGCGTTTCGGCGGCGGGCGGCGGTGGCGGCCGTTGGGTGAGGAGGAGCCGGCGGCAGCGGAGGACGGGCGCATGAGAGGACCGCGGCGGCGACGGCAGCGGCAGCTGGTAGAGGGATTCGGCAGTGCAGGCGAGGACGACGAGGGCGCCAGGAAGGGTTTGCTGGCGGTGAGGCTCGGGGCGCCAGGAACGCGACGGTGGAGGAATCAAGGGCCGTGACAGCTTCTCCGCATCGCGTGCCGTCACAGGCAGCGCGGAGTGGCACGTAGGGGGATCCGGCGGTCGGGCCGCTTGTTCGCTGTCGTCGCTGTCGTCGGTCGGCGTGGGCGGGCGGTGGTCAGCGATCCGCGGCCGAGGGTTCGCGGTGCGATTGCAGGCGAGGCGGACAGGTGAGGTCGCTGAAGGGAGGTGCCGAAGCTGAGGGTGGTGAAGCTAAGGTATGGAGGCAGCTCCAGTGCAACAGCCGCTGGAGGGGGCGGAACGGGATGCAAGCAATCAAGGCCGCAGCGGTAGGTTGGTCTGCTCTGCACTGCGGGGAGGGGGGCCCGCCCGTTGTGGCTCCCAATGGCGGCTAGTGTAGTTTGGGGCGTGGGAGCTGGAAATGGAACCGTGCCGGATAGGTAGCACCTAATACCTTGCCTTACGTGTGTGGCGTGCTGCGCCCGGGGGGAGGACAATTGGTGGGTGGGTACCTACAGTACCTAAACGCGAGTCGGGCGGCGCTGGGGATGGCGATTTCAAAGCAGCATGGCGGGCCAAGAGATGGGAATGTGGCGCGGGAAGCGGCAGAGGCAGATGGATTGTCGTGTCGTCCGCCCGCACGAAACAATCGCACACCCTCACCTCATGCAGATGCAGGACGGGCAGGGGTCAAGTTGTGGCCGGAGGCACACGCGCGCAGAGCAGAGGGCTCGTTGCACAGGTTAGGTAACCTAACGTGATGCGACAGAGGGCGAGGTGCCCGAGGAGGGTTGGCCCCCCCCCCCCCGGGTCCACAGTCGCCGGGCCGCCAACCTTCTGAACTGAGCAATGACCTCAGCGACCGACGAGGCGCCTGCGCGGGCAGGTGCGCGGCCGGGCAGCCACCTATGCAGGCACCCGACGGGACGTCGATGCAGTGGACGTTGGGCGGTTGCATTGGATCGGGCTCCCGCCGTGACGGCGCGGGCACACGGACGCATAGGTACCTGCCACATTTCACACGCCTAACACCCGCAACCTGGATATTGAATCCCCTCATGGCTCTTAGCTACCTTACCATATGCAACTGCAATTTTTGGACGAGGTGTCACGGCACGCCGGGAGCGCTTTCGTCGAGCCGCGGCGAACCGAGGTGAATCGAGGTCAACATAAAAGTCACCAACTGACTCGGGCAGCTCCTGGGCTCCTTCTGTCAACATGTCATTGGATCCAATCCCGTTCCAACATTGCCTGCCATGCCTCCTTTCTATGCCGCTGCCCACAGAATCCTCACAGGGCGCCGTTCAGCGACGTCCATGCCGTGGTGGGGGCCCCCAGCACACGCGCGGTTCCCTACTAGTACCTACCTACAGGTACTCGGTAGCAGGTCCCCAGTGGACCCGCCGTACAGCGGGATACCTCTCGACGCCGCCGGAGGGAAAACTCCTTGCCCCGGCCAACCGGCGGGACGGCGGGGCCTGCCCTCTGCGCAACGGCATCTTTGCCGCAGGTGGCGGGTACCTAATCATTTGTGAGTCCCGTCTGTGACCCTCTTTAAGGACGCTGTCCTGCTTCTGCCGAGTTGCTGCTGTTGTTGCTCCGATCGCGATCCGCCTCGCCGCTGCGACTCCATCGCCGACGGCAGAGTGACATCTCGCGTGTCTGTCCGCACTCAACTCACCCCGACGCCTGCATGGATGGAACCCGCCAGAGGCCAATTGACCAACAGCCGGGACCCATTCTATCTACGTGCCGCCTGCGCTCCTCCCAACCTTCGAGCAGCTTCCCCTGGGGGTCCTGCTCACACGGCCCCACTTCACGATAGCCTCACAGCACCCGTTCAATGCTTTGTCTGCCCGGCGATAACGCCTGGTCTCGGCGCGGCGCGCCCACGTTGCGCATTGCGGCTCGTACGTGCCACTTTGATTCCAGCTCGGCCCGCCCGCCATTGGCGACCGTGCCGTGTATGTGTCTCCTATCGAGTACCCGTGTGCCCTCATGCAATTCGCGACGCGCGTGCCCCGCGTGTGCGCCAACATGTCCTCTCCCCGCCCCTCCCATGCATCGTACAATCACGCCTGTATACATAAAGAAAATGGGCAGTTGGACAGCTGCCGCTGCTGAGTGACCATTGCCTCCCCGCCTGCGCGCGCCTCCGAATGCGCCGCCTCAGTATGCTCCTCTGCTCGGCGTCCGCCCGTACTTGATGGGGCTCAGTTGCCGCTCTCCGCGCTCCCCTTTGCTTGGGCTCCGCCGTCCCGATGGCGTCTGGTACGTCAGCGCCGGCTTCAGGTTCAGCGGCGAATTGTCCGTGTCGGTGCCTTCGTCGAGCATGGCCCGCCGCCGCATCTTGGGTGTCTGGACCGGCACCAGCATGTACCCAGGCGTGATGCCCGGTGACCGTGGCCCATCGAGAGCCGCCTCGTGGCCTTGCGGTGGCGGCCGTGGTTCCGCGTGCGCCCTGCTGTTCGACCGCCCCAGCGAGCCGACGTTGACCGTCGTGCAGATCAGGACGAATCCCAGGACAATGCCCTTGAACACGTGTTAGCAAACGCAGCCATGCCCAAAGGGTCATTCATCGTGTACCTACCCAAGCCTTGAGATTCATGGCGTCCGTAAACTCGTTGATAATCTCCGCCACCTGCTTGACCGTCACCTTGACCCTGATGATGGACTCGGGGTCCTGGTACATGCACTCCTGCCACTCGGCGCAGAGGGCCAGCAGGCCCGGCCGGTCGCCCTTGATGCACTCGTTGATCTGGTACTGTGTCCGGCACTCTGCCACGCCCCTCTCAAACTCGAGCCGCGCCGAGGCGTTGGCCCGCTGGATGTCGTTTCGCACCGTGCTGAACACGGACCAGCCGACATACACCAGCGTCGAGATGAGAAAGAGGTTTGCGCCAAACTGCATCCACCGCTGCATGTGCTCCGGTGTGTTGGGGTACTTGTTGAGGGCGTAGAAGAGGGATTCGAGCGTGCCCCTCTGCTGGTCTTGGTCCCGGTCCCGGTTCCGGTCCCTCTGCTGCGACTTCTTGGAGCCTCGCGGCGCCACGCCCGTGTCCGAGTCCGAGTTCCATGCATCGCTGTCGTCTTGTCCGTGATGGCGGCCGACGCTGCCGACGTCGCGATCGTAATTGTGACGCTTGCGCTTCCTCAGGCCCACGGAGCGCTCCCGCTGCGGCCGAATCTCCCCCTTGCCCGCGGCATGCTTCTTGAGCAACGGCCCGGCTCGGCCGTACCGACTCGCCTTGTCGACCTTGAGAGGCGCGACCGTACCGCCCATGACCACGTCGGCACGGTGGTCGACCTCGGGCGTGTCGTTGGGGTAGTCGGACGCCTCCGTCAGCGCCGGGCTGTCTTCGGCACCGGAGGCTTCCGAGAAGACGAGCTCATCGACCGGCCTCCTGGGGGTCGTGAATGCGGGATTTCGAAAGGGCGGTGCAATGTTCTTGGAGGCGACTTGCGGCGTGAAGCTCGAGGTCTGCGGCGGCGGCGCCTGTTGTTGCGACTGGGGTTTGGAGGGAGTCGAGAGATTGGCAAACGGATTGTTCGGTCTCGACGCCTTGAATGGGGAGCCAAACACTGCGCGCCGGAGCGTTAGTCTGTCGTTCCGAGCATAGCATCGACAGCCTGGACTGCTGGGGCTCGAGATGGGATGGCATGCGTACTTGTGTTTCGCGAAGCATTGTGCGCCGCCTGCGCAAAGGGACTGGTGGGGTCCAACGGGCCACGATCCTGATACTCCCAGTCCATGGGACCTTCAAAGGTCCTGGACTCCATGACGGACGATCAATGTGTCGCTGGCTGCTGGTGCTGCTGCTGTTGCGCTGTGCTGATACGGACGTCGTGGATGATGGTTCGAAGCGGCAAACGTGCAGAGCTAGAACATGATGAAGCGAGGATGGGCACATTGCTGGAGCGCTGGCCGCTAGGTACAGGAGCAGCCACTGAAATGGGCCTGTGGCAACCGGAACGTCCCAAGTAAACAAATCCGTCGCGGTGTGGGGCCTCAGGCACTCCAGGGCTGGTTTGACGGCACTGGCAGACTTGTTGCGGGCCGCTTATGTCAGCGAGCCTCGCCATCCATCCCTGCTCCACCAACGGCTTTGTGCTGGCCTGGTAAATCGCTTGTGCATCAAACTTGGAGGACGGCCAGCTTCCATCGACCCAACACCGCCGTCTGCATCGCTCGACACCCTTGCAGCATCTTGAGTCGCCTCTAGGAGCCTCGATAGGCGAAAGCGAGTGTCCCAAACATCCTCCTAAATCTCTGCGAACCCCACCCGATCCATCTCGAGCCTTTGGCAAACGCCGTTGGGGAGACAACCAGCTGTCGCCATGTCCGACGCCGAATCGCCTGCTGGCTCACCAGCCAACGAACCCGTCGATGACGGGCAGGAGCGAGAATTCGAGGAGGAGGTGGCCGCTGCCGACTCGGACCGCGACTCGGATCTGCTGTCCGAGGTGGACGAGGACCAGTTTGAAGACTACGACCCCGAGACCGCCAACATTGAAGATCGGCCGGTGGACATTGATGAGGATGCGGCGCGCACACTGAAGGCGAGCAAGCGCAAGAGGGCAGAGGGCGAGGCGGCGAGGAAACCCAGAGAAGGACGGAGGGAGAAGAAGCGTCGAGACCGGGACGACGATGTCGCCATGGACAACGAGGCCGACGCCGACGGAGAGGCACCGCAGCGGAGATCGAGACGCGCCGCAGAAGGAGAGAGGCGGCGTCCGAAAAGGGACAAGAGCCCGGACGAGGGACCCAACGAGGAGGATCTCAGCCCGGAGCAGAGGAGAGCGCTGGCGATCGAGCGAGCCCTGGACGCCGCCATCAAGAAGCCGGCCGCCACCAAGAGGAAGCGCAAGGACGAGATTGTACGTGTGCTCCTTGGCGTGCAGGCTGTCATGACTAACTAACAGGCGAGTAGGACCTCGAGGACGAAATCGACGAAACGCTGGCGGAGCTCAAGACGCGGATGGACAAGGCCTGCGTCGACGACAACGCGGCGCGCGGGGCCGGCCAGCCTGCGCTGCACAAGCTGAAGCTGCTGCCCGAGGTCGTCGGGCTGCTGAACCGAAACAACGTCCAACATGCCGTGTTGGACCCCGACACCAACTTTTTGCAGCACGTCAAGTTCTTCCTAGAGCCGCTCAATGACGGATCCCTGCCGGCGTACAACATTCAGCGCGACATTTTCATGGCGCTCACCAAGCTCAGCATCGAGAAGGAGGCGCTCATGAGCAGCGGCATCGGCAAGGTGGTGCTCTTTTACACGCGAAGCAAGAAGCCGGAGCCCAGCATCAAGCGCATGGCGGAGCGCCTGCTGGGCGAGTGGAGCCGGCCGATTCTGAAGCGGACCGACGACTACAAGAAGAGGCACATTGAGACGCGCGAGTTTGACTACCAGTACGTGTTTGGCGACCAGCTCTGCGCACGCGAGGGAGAGACGCTGACCCCATTGATTACAGTGCCGCCAAAGTGGCCCAGCGCCAAAAGTCTGGATCGCAGTTCAGCCTCACGCAGCGGCCTGCCCAGTCGGCGCGGGATGCGTTCCTCGCGCCGGCGCGCGCCGACAATCAAGCACGGATGGGCCATTTGCCGCAGAGCTACACGATCGCGCCCAAGAGCACGTTTGACGGAACGCGGGGCCAGGACCACCGGCCGCTGGGCGCCAGCGGCATGGAGGCGTTTAGGCGGATGACGCAGAAGAAGAAGCGGGCGTAGCTGAAGCGGGAAATGGATGGTTAGGCGGTCTGCGTGGAGTGCTTGGGCGTTTCGGGACGATGCGCTATTACGGGCGGCGGTCGGTATATATTTGGACGTGCAGGGTAGCAACGATTTTGCTCTTTGTGCGACCTGCATCAACATGAACATCGACAGGGACAAGTCGGCTGCGCGAGCGGGCCGAGGCGAAGGGGACGGCCACGAGGGACGGATAGATCCTGGCGCGCGCCCGAGGATTTCGGAACCCGTGGTGTCCCGTGGTCGGTGGTGACGGCCATGTGACCGGAGCGGAGGGCCACATGCTTCGCGGCGCCGTCACATCCTGCGCCGGTGTGGTGCTGCCGTTCGGGCCCCTATCAGACTGGACGGGATGGATCTGCCGCGGGGGTGGAGGACTGCTCCAGAGCTGCGGCTGAGAAATGGGCACCTACATGCAGGCCGTTGCCGTAGTCAAACATTGTCTCGCATGACCAACCAAGCAGCAAGCAGCAAGCAACAAGCAAGAGTGGTGATGTCGGTATCCTACGTCCTGAGGTGTGTGACAAGCCGGATGGCGGTCGGGAATTCGGGGTCACAGGCGACGGGTCCCTGGTGCGGCTGGTGGCAGGCGGGCGCTGACGTCAATGGCCCATAGGTATGGTAGGGAGCCGGCCCGCATTCTCCAGCACGTGCATTTGTCGGCCCAGCGTGTCCAGGTTCCCAGCCTCGTCGTCGCCTCCCCTCCGTTCTGCCTTTCTCCTTGCAGCACAGCAAGCAATTGCCGATCCGCCAGAGCGCTATTACAGGGGGCAGCGGCACGGCGGGCCAGTCAATCTGCGACAGGGAATCCCCGCCACCAGCCAGCAAGCCGATCGATGCTGCGCTGGCCGGAGTGCATGTCCGATGCGGTTGCATGCCCTCTAGGGAATCGATAGGGGGGGACAGGGGGGCGAGCGAGCCCGAGACGTGGTCGTCGCTTTGTCCGTGTGCTCTCATTTAGACTTTGTCGTGCACGATAGAGCAGCAGTATGGTGCTGCTCGGCGCCCCCGTGTGCCAATGCGAGAAGGCATCTGCAGCGCCTACAGTATTAAGCCCTCCCCAACAATCACGGGCAATTTAGCATCAGCGCTGCATGCCTGCTCCAACAAAAACGCCGAGTCGGGTGCCACTACGAGGAGACCTCTGCTGCTAGGTTAGGTGACGAGCAGCCACCGAGGGCCTACCTACACTACGCGTGCGAGTAGGCGATCTTGCCGGCTGCACCCGCACCCGCCGCCGCGTCCGCCGGAGGAGCCAGGAAGCCTGTTTGTCTGCTAATAGAGGCAGGTCGGAGGGGGAGGCAGGAACGACGGGAAGAGGCGGGGTTATCTTTTGCCTATCGCGCCAGCCATCTCCCACATCGTCGCCATCGGCCGGCTTCTTCAACTCTACATTCCACCTCCTCCTCCGCAGCCATTGTCGTCGACGCCTCGGCGAGAGGCACGGAATATTGTCTTTGTTGTGGACATCCATCTGCCAACCTTTGCACGATTAGACACGGTGACCGAGTCACCAGCGAACCGGCAGGCCACATTGCTTGGATTGTACCGCCGCAAACGGCCCTCCAAGGGCCCAGGTCAAACAAGGTGAGTGACGAATTGGCTTTCCTTGGTACCCGCAGTGAGAGATGCTCCGACGACGCTGTGTATGATTCGGCGTCGCCTACCGTGGTGGCCAGCCCGGTGTCGAGCCGCGGACACGGAGGGGACGCTTCACCTGGGAGAGCCGCACGAGAACATGGAACGCCTGGCATGCGCGCGCCGTGATGTGATGCGCTGCGCTGCGCTGCGATGCGATGCGACGCGGTGCAGTGCGGTGCGATGTGATGCGCCCCAACCAACGCCTGGCGCCACGAGCTTCGCGCGGGTGGCGGCGGGCTGGCGTCTTCAACAAATTGCGCCATCTAGCGCTCCCGCGTCAACAATAATTCCTGGCGCAGGAGGACAAACAAAACACGTCAAGCACCGGCAACCGCAGCAGCAGCAGCAGTACCAGCAGCAGAAACAACGCTGACTTGGAAACAGTCGCAAACAGCCATCGAAGCGCAGGGTAATCAAGGCGACAACTCAGAATAGCAGCCCGCTGGTCTCTCGTCACTCACACACCCCACCAACGCGCGGGCGAGACGGGACCGTCCGCGAACGGGTCCCCAAGGTCCCCAAGGGGGTGGCCACTCCACCACACCACACCAAACACCAGCCATCCGGCCGTCCTCCATTCCATTGTCCGCCTCGCCTTCTCCTTCTCCCGCGCCGTCCGTCGAATTCACCCTGAGGCGACGGATGCGCAGCGCGACCCGACTCGCACGAGGAGCATCTGCTGCGCCTCGCGATCCCGACCCCCGGCTTCGACCCCGGCCCCGACGCCGATTGCGAGCGCCTCGGCGACGGCAAGTTTGAGACCCCGGCGAGCCAAACATGCTTGCGACGACCCGGCACGACGGGTGCGCTGTGCCCGACGACACTGGTGCGGCGACGGCGACGGAGAAGACGAGCACGATGGCAGAAGCAACGGCCACGAATGGCAGTGGCAGCGCCCCGGCGGACGAGGCGCAAAAGACGGCGCCGCCGCTCGCCGCCGTCGCGAGCTCCAACGGCGGCGACGGCGGCAGCTCTGTCGCCAAGAAGCGCAAGAAGGACGGCCTCAAGCCCATCATCACCAAGGAGGACGCCACGGGGACCGACGAGGATGAGGACGACGAAGACGAGACCGGGTGCGTACATTTTTTTCTCGTTCCACCTCTTACCTACCTACCCACCTACCTACCTACCTGTGTGGTGCTGTGCTACTACTCTACTCCATCCCCTTTTGTTCGCGGGGGTTTGTTTTATACTTTGCGGCGCGGCGGCGACGGCGGCCGTGCGGGCTTGCTAGCCGTTGGTGTCCGTTCCTGGCCCAAGCGCCGTCACCAACCACCGGGGTTCCGGCTCTTGGATGTTGTTTGCGGCGACGAGGTCACTACCACCTCCTCCACCGGCCTTGGTTCTACTCGTACAGTCACCGAGCGCGCCTACGTTTCTGCCCGTCCGCTCTCTTGGCGAACACCCACCCTTGTCTTGCGATGAAGTCGTCGCTTGGCGACCCGTCTTTCGTCCGGCCGTATGCCTCCCAAGGCAGGGTGGTAGGCAGAACAAGGAAAGCCCACCAACCCCTCGGGCCAGGCCAGGCTCCCAAGCGGGGCTGCGACGACATCATGGACAGACGGTTGGACATGCGGCTGGCAGAGAGGCGTGATCAAGACCAGACGCGCCGGGCCGTTCAAGCGATCGGCTCGGTCAGCGGCCACCATCAGCCCCCCTGCTGGCTGGCTTAGGCTGGGTGCACATGCACCGCATTTGCCGTGGGCGGGCGCTTCGCATCGCCTCGCGGCACATGACGCCGTGGCTCCGGGAGCCGTGGGCCAATTGCCAGTGGCGGCTGGCGCTTTCCCCATGGGCTGGGCGGCTGGGCAGTGCGCATGTGAGCTGGCTTGCGAGGTGCTCCCGTCCTGAGGTGTCTGCTTTGCTCGCCAGTTGCGCGGCGCTGCGCTGGCAACCTGGGCTCGCGATGACGACGGTGGTGCCGCCGTGCCGTGGGCGGATGCGACGTGGGCGCAAGGCGGACCGCACGGGGGATGAGAGAGGAGGGGGTGGTGGTTGCGGATGCGGTGGCTGGAGAAACCTAATTCGGGGCACCTCGCGGATTTCCATTGAGGGATGGACGAGGCGCAGTTGATGCTCGACTGGCGGGCTCCCGGTCCAGCTCACTGGGCTCTCTTGCCGTGACCTGCAGCGCGATGCGGTGCGGTGTCTACGGGACAGATACAGCGCAGCACGCACGCGGCAGCTCGCGTCGATCATCCGTTGGGTGAGGTGGCCGGGTGGGTGTTCCAGCGGAGGGTGGTGGCCCCCTGTGGACCTGCGTCCTGTCGAGTGTCGAGTTGCGCTGCGCCCGCTGATGAGGGAGCCTCCACTGCCTTAAGGTTCCAAGGTTCTCATTCAAAGCCACGGGCAGGTGCCGGGCGCGCAGCGCAGTGCCGTGCAGTGCACGTACCGCGACGCACCGCTGGGCTCTTTTTAGCGGCATGGATAGGATCATGGCGCATCCCATCCCCCGCTGGATGCGGGTGACTGACCGCGGTGCAGCGCGCCCACTGCACTGCACTGCACTGCACTGCATACTGACCGTCGAACGGGGATCCGACGCAAGTGTCTCGCTTTCCCCTTCCCGTCGCCGTCGTCCCGCTTTCGCTCGCGGCCTGCCCCTCCCTTCCATGCCCGGCCACCTAGTCGTGCCCGTGTTGATCGCTGCACCGTGCCAGTGGCTCCACTCCCGTCAGCGGTTGACCTCGTCAGGCTCCGTTCAGCCCGTCACTGCCTCAGTGCTTCAGTGGAGCCGGGGTCGGGCGCCCCAGGCTGGCCAGCCCAGCGCAGCCGCCTTCGTTCGGGCAGGGCACGACTAGGCAGTAGGCAGTGGGCACTGTCGGCTTCCAGGTTGTCTTGCTGCCCCTCCACTGCCTGCCTGCCTGCCCGCCTGCTTGCTGGTCCCGGCCCCAGTGCCGGCACCGTCTTCCTCGCGGGCTCCCATCCTTTGCCTGGACTGCCCAGGTGCTGCTGGCCGCTGCTCCTCCTCTCCACCTGGGGTTGGTTACCTGGGCTCGCCACGCCTGTCCATCGCATCCCGTGTCGTCTCTCGCCCCATCTCCACTGCCCGTGCTGCCGCCGTGGCTGCTGCTTCGCTTCTTCACATCCATCGTCTCCTCATCCATTCTCTTCCCTCAAACGCCTCTCTGAGCTCGCCTCGTTGCTTGGCCGTCGGGCTGCTCCTGCTGCTCCTCTTGCTACTGCTCCAGACGTGGGGGCGTCTCCGGTGCCACCGCCACCCCGTTCGTCCGTTTCGCCAGCAGAGTCCGCGCGACCGCTCCAGCAAGTGCCTCAAGCTAAGCTCCCACCCAGCGCAAGCGCAAGCTCGACTCTTTGATCCCGCATCTCTTCGTCCCGACCCGGCTCCGTCTTGCTCTCCCTCCTTCGCACGCGCGCGCGATCGATCTGCTCTTCGCCCGGCCCGAGCCCTGCTGGCAAAGCAAAGTCGCTCTCGCAACGGAACGGCGGCGGCGGCGCGAGCCATGTAGGACGGGTGCCGTCGCATATAATCACTCATCATCATGAGCTTTCTTAAGTCGAGGTTGCTACCCCCCCACTCCCTTCTCTGGTGTCACTGTTTTTGTTTACTGCCTTGATCGCCGTCACTGTCACTTCGGGGTTTGATGCTCTGCTTTGGTTTCGGACACCCCTTGCTCGCTTGTCTTGGCCGTGGGGATGGCTGGCCAGCGGCTGCGCGCGCGCCTCGGGTCCTTGCATCGGGCATCGTCAGTTGCGTCGTCGTCGGCGTTGTCGCCGCCGCCGCCGCCGTCGGTGCGCGACCGCCAATGAGTCGAGGTCGCTGGAAGTCAGCCAGCCATCCCAGGCCAGCCCGCCCACCTCACTTCACTCACTTGGGGCTAGTCCTCTCTGCCCCCCCTCGCAACGGCGGTCCATTCAACACCCCTCTCTCCCTCTCTGCCTGCCTGCCTGACCGTCCCTCACCTCACCTTGCGTCCTTGACGCTGCCCGCCCGCCTCCCCGTCACCTCCGTCAAGCGCGCCAGCCCAGCCTGTCGGCGCCCCCGCCATCCATCCCACCCGCGCCAGCGCCAGCGCCTGCAACCAGCACCAGCACCAGCACCAGCACCAGCCCGCTTCAACTCGCCTCAACGCATCCTCTGCTCCATTTCATTGTCTCCCCCCATTGCTTGCTCGCTCGCCCGCCCGCTCCGTGCCCACCGGCCACAGCCAGCCCGCCACACACACCTTTCTCACCTTTGCTTCTAACCCCCTCCCCCCTCCCCCCCTCCTCCGCCTGAACCGGACGCGCGCCGCATCATCATCGCAACCAAACTCTTCGCTGACCTCTCGCCCTCGCCGGCGCGCGCATACAGAGCCCACCAATTGTCCGGCGCAATGGCCCATTCGCCGTCATCGTCGTCGGTCGACGACCCCGCCGACAACACCGCCGACGAGGAGGATTCCGAGGACTACTGCAAGGGCGGCTACCACCCCGTCCAGATCGGCGAGAAGTTCAAGGACGGCAAGTACACGGTCGTGCGCAAGCTTGGATGGGGGCACTTTTCCACCGTCTGGCTCTCCCGCGACAACAACAACGGCAAGCACGTTGCCCTCAAGGTCGTCCGCTCCGCCGCCCACTACACCGAGACCGCCATCGACGAGATCAAGCTCCTCAATAAGATTGTCCAGGCCAAACCCGACCATCCCGGCCGTAAGCACGTCGTCAGCCTCCTCGACTCCTTCGAGCACAAGGGCCCCAACGGCACCCACGTCTGCATGGTCTTTGAGGTCCTCGGCGAGAACCTGCTCGGCCTCATCAAGCGCTGGAACCACCGCGGCATCCCCATGGCCCTCGTCAAGCAAATCACCAAGCAGGTCCTCCTCGGCCTCGACTACCTCCATCGCGAGTGCGGCATCATCCACACCGACCTCAAGCCCGAAAACGTCCTCATCGAGATTGGCGACGTCGAGCAGATTGTCAAAAAGGTGGTCAAGAACGAGCCGGGCGACAAGGAAAACAACCGCAACGGCCGCCGGAGACGGCGGACCCTCATCACCGGCAGCCAGCCCCTGCCGTCTCCCCTCAACGCCACCTTTAACCAGAACAACCTCTTTCCCTCCTCGGGCTCCCAGCCCAGCCTCGCCGGCGTCCTCAACGAGGGTGCGTATCCGCCCTCTTGCTCCCCTCGTTGTGTAGAAAGAGACCGTACCCCTAACGCTCGCTCGTCTTTGGCAGGCACCACGAGCACAAAGGACTCATCACCCAAGTCGGGCGACGAATCGCAAAAGCAGCGGGAAAAGTCTGCGTAAGTCCTCCGCTGTCCCCGCGCCCGCACCCGTCGAGACGCGCCGATGCTGATCATCCTCCCCCCCAAAAGTGACATCCTCTCGCGCGAAGTATCCGGCATCTCGCTCGACAAGTCCAGCAGCTCGTCGGCCTCGACGGGCGACAAGCGCAAGGCCGAAGACCCGCACGCCTTTGACGTTATCAGCGTCAAGATTGCGGATCTCGGAAACGCGTGCTGGACGAACCACCACTTCACAAATGACATCCAGACGAGGCAGTACCGGTCCCCCGAGGTCATTCTCGGTGCTAAGTGGGGGGCCAGTACAGACGTCTGGAGCATGGCTTGCATGGTACGTCCCGCGCGCCGCCGCAGCGCATCTCTCTGGCTTCGGCGAGAGGCGAAGCTGACCAAGACCGCCGCCGTAGGTGTTTGAGCTCATCACCGGCGACTACCTCTTCGATCCCCAATCGGGCACAAAGTACGGAAAAGACGACGACCACATTGCGCAGATCATCGAGCTTCTCGGTCCGTTCCCCCGATCGCTATGCCTGAGCGGCAAGTGGAGTCAGGAGATTTTCAACCGTAAGGGCGAGTTGCGTAACATCCATCGGCTGCGACACTGGGCGCTGCCCGACGTCTTGCGGGAAAAATACCACTTCAAGGAGGACGAGGCCAAGCGCATCTCCACCTTCTTGACGCCAATGCTTGAGCTGGTGCCGGAGAAGCGGGCCAACGCCGGAGGCATGGCGGGGCACGGCTGGCTCGAGGACACGCCGGGCATGAAGGGCCTGCGGATTGAGGGCCTCGAGGTCGGCGGTCGGGGCGAGGGCATTGACGGGTGGGCGACGGAAGTACGGAAACGATGAGGAGCCGGCACGCTCGCGGACAAGGGCCACCGCCACCACACCAGAGGTCCGACTCGTCGTCACCACCCCTCGTCGCTGCGCTTGGCGTGTTGATTGTCTGGGTAGAGACACGGCGGCCCGTGGGCCTTGTAGTCGCCCGCGTTTCGGGGAAAGCTGGAAGACGTTCTGGGTCTTGCTTGGACGACGGACGATCCATGTCCCCTGGACCTCGGCTGCGGGATGAGCTGCTTGAACGGTGCGGCTGCCCCCAGCGATAGGGAGATGTTAGCTGGACTGGATGGAAGAGACAGAGAGAGAGAGATGCTGTCACAACGACTTGACTTGACTTGTCTGGACGGAAAGGGCATGACAAACGGGAATCGCAAGGACACAGAGAAGGGAACATGGGACGACGGGGGAGGGTATGAATGATAGATAGACTTTGCACATGACGTGTGGTGTCTTTTTGTTACGTTTATTGCCAAACAGCACAGCGGGGGCTGCCCGAGCGAGTGAATATGCCTTACTCGGTATTGCCATCATGGGGAAATGGACTGGAGCTGCGTGAAAGTGGTTACAAACACGCTGATGCGTCTGTCACTGCACTGCGCTGACGGGACCGTTGCGTGAGGGTTGAGGAATGGTGCTTTTCTTTTTATATTCTTCTTTGACCGACTGTACGCCGCGCTTTCTTGGGAAGCAACGCCTGTGGACTCCTAATCTGTCTTGCAAAACCATCAACGCGCCGCGATGCTCGTTTATTTCTTGTTCTTGCGCCGGGCCCTCACTCCGGCCGCGGGGCCGCCGCCGCCGCCTGTTTCCGAACCTGTATTCTTGGCATCCTTCTCGCTCACCTCCGCCGCGCTGTCCTCGCCGTCCTCGCCGTCGCCCGTTTCGTCGCCGGAAGCAGACGCAGCAGCATTGGCCCGCCCGTCGAGCACCTCCTCGACGATGCGGCGGCCCTCGTCGACCTCGCCGTTGAGCGCGCCGCAGGCCATGCACTTCCAGGGGCCGAGCTCGGCGAGGGAGCGCGTGCCGGGCGGGGCCTGGCCGTTGACGAGGCGGCAGGCGCGGCAGATGAGGGCGATGCGGTTGCGCGCGGCCGTCTCGTCCTCGCCGAGGAGCACGTCGAAGATGCGGTCGTACCAGTGCGGCTCGGAGGCCTGTGGCGGGGGCGCGTACGCGTACTGCTGCTGCTGCTGCTGCGGGGGGTACGTCGACGTCGACGACGACGGGCCGTCGGCGGCGGTGAAGGGCTGCTGCTGGTGTGCGAAGGCGTTGGGCGCAAACTCGGCCGTGGGGTCGAGGGTGTCGTCGGCGCTGCCGACGGGTCGGCTCGGGCTATGCTGTTGCTCGGGATGCGAGGGCGAGGGCGACGACGGCCCGGGCGGCCGGCGCTGGATGTTTGCGGTCGGCGGAGGGGGCAGGTTCGTCCTGCCGGGGGTGGTGCCCTTGTTGCCCGCGCCGCCGCCGCCGGGGCCGGCTGCCGCCACGCCTTTGTCGTCCTGCCCGCCGGGGCCGCCGCCCTTCTTCTTCTTGCCGCCGCCCTCGCCGCCGTACTTTTCGATGAGCTCGAGGGTGGAGTCGTACTTGGTCGCGTCCTTGAGCTTCTGGATCGTCTTGGCGCGCTCTTCCTGGTGCTCCTTGAGGCGCGCCGAGACGCTCTCGATGCGAAAGGTGAAGTATGCCGTCGTCAGGGCGCGGACGAGATAGATGCTATAACACGGGGAGACGGGCACGGGTTAGCTAGCGATGTAGAGTTGGCGGGCGCGTGACGGACGGACGGGGCCAGCAGAGGGTCGTGGGAAGAGGGGAGCAGGAGGATGAGCTTTAGGGTTGGAGAGGGGAGGAGGGGTCGTACACGACGGGCCCGCCGGCGAGGGCTGTCCACTCGAGGGCGCCGAGGTTGGCATAGCCCACGACGAGCAGCAGGACGATGGCGTAGACGGTGTAGGCAAAGGCGAGGTAGAGGGTCCAGAGGACCTTGACGCGGCGGGAGCTGGCGCGGAGGCGGTCGAGGCGGGACTGCGAGTCGGCGATCTTGACGGAGAGGGTGGACAGGGTCTTTTCGAACGAGGCGGTCGAGGACGAGTCCCTCTGGCGACCGGGCAAAATGTCAGTCTTTTCGTGGCACGCGTGACGGAGAATGGCGCGGGAGAAGGGGAGGAGCTGTGGTGTGTGCATATCTCTGTCGACGGACCTTCCACGGCCAAAAGGACACCATTTCGGCGGGCTCAGTTGATGAGCGGCCCCGGGAAGGGGAGAGCTTGGTGTCTACACGCAGCAGCGCCTGAAGAGACCGCCCGCTGCTGTACCACGAGCAGGAAGGAGTAGAGGAGATCGTTTCGTATCGTGGAGGAAGCGGCGCGTGAGCTGGGCGCTGGGGAGAAGAGCGCTGCGCAGCGGGATGCTGTGAGGTCGAAGCTCGACGAGAAGCTGCTCGAGTGACGGTGATGCGGTGGGTGGGTGGGCTGCGGCGCTAAAACAGCACAGGCCCCCCATGTCGCCCAGGCAGCTTAGTAGGTTGGAGGACGGGAGCCTCCATGGCGACGGGTGACTTCATTGGCGGCCGGGGCCACCTCACTTGGTCCCCAGCGCCCGTGGACGTTCTGACGGCGCACAGCCCCCCCGGGCCTGCAGCAGCCACACCTCCATCAGGCGACCACAGCGGTCACTGACCCGCTACGCCACAGTACAGGACACCTGTGCTGTGTTCCTGCGCTGGACTCCATCGTCCAACTCGGCTTCACCTGGTGGCCAGCACGAGCCTCGGTCTTCCCCAACATCCACTGCCCTCCTACCCTTTGGCTGCCGCGACGATGCCATGCGCGCAGCTGTAGACCTCTAGTTTCTCTTACAGCCTCCGACAAATTGTGCTCCGCTCGCGTCGCTTCATGGTTCCGCAGGCGTAGGCGTTTGGATAGCGGTCGACCGACAGAGGTCGACGAACCATCATGTTTCAGGTGCGCTCATCACCGCCCCCTCGAGAGACGGAGACAACCTCCTCGACGCAGGCCAGCCGCTGACATGGCCGCGTGTGCAGAGAATACGAGGCGCCATCGACCGGACCATTGCCGAGGAGCAGGCCCGCCAGCAGAAGATCACCGATGGGGGCAGCGCCGCAAGTGTCTCCCGCTCCGGCTCGACGTCTTCCCGCGGCGGCGGCGCGAAGCGACCGGCGCGCGCGAAGAAGCCCTCTACCGACATTACGAACGCCGATGCCGCCCCGCCGAATCCCGACCCGGCCGTGTTCGAGGCGGCGTTTGTGATTGACGACAGCGACGAGCCCAGCAGGGCGGGCACGCCGAAGCCGCAGGTCCCCGAGAAGGACGGCGTCGCGGTCAAGAACGGGGAGGGCGAGCCCAACTCCAAACCCGACGATGCGGACGCCTCAAAAGCCGCCGCCGGGGACAGGGCGAAAGGCGACGGCGAGGATGGCGCAGGACGGGGCACGTCGTCGTCGTCGTCGTCGTCGTCGCAGGACCTGAGCCCCGAGATCAAGCAGCGCCTGCGCAAGCTGGAGAAGCTCGAGGCCACGTACCCTGGTAGGCTCTACCGAGGTCCCAATTGCCCTTGCACGGCGCAGTTGTGCCAATGACAACCCACAGAACTATTGCGATCCTACCGAGTCGCCCACAAGCGCGCGACCGCCATCGAGCCCTTCGAGAAGGCCCTCCGCGAGAACACGCCATTGACGTCCATTGGCGACCCGGACGCGCTCGTCGAGTACCTCAACCAGCTGAACCTGCGGGGCGACATGGTCATGCAAGAGCTGAAGCGCGTCTCTGCTGACAAGGATGAGCTCAAGAAGAAGCACGACGAGGCCCAAGATAAGCTCGCCCAGGTCCAGGAGGAGCTCGACAAGGTCAAGGCGGGCAAGTCAGGCGACGACGCCGCCGCAGAGGACACGGACAAGCCCACGGCGGACTCTGCGACGACGGACACCAAGGAGGACAAGGCGCCGGAAAAGGTCAAGTCGCCCGTGGCATCAGTCATTGGCATGTTCTCCCCCAAGCAAAAGGCGCAAGCCGTCGAGGAAAAGACGGACGGCGAGGACTTCTTTTCCTACGACGAAGAGATTCCCCAGCTGCAGGCCGACGTCGCGGCCAAGACGGACGAGATTGAGCGGCTCAAGACCGAGGCCGAGGACCTCAAGAAGGAGCTCGCCGCCGTCAAGGAGAATAGCGCCGGTCTCGTGGCGAACCTTGAGAACGCGACGAGGGAGCTGAGCGAGTCGCGCGATGCGGCTGCGTCCCGCGACTCGTGGCAGTCGCAGCTGGACGAGCGGACCAAGGAAATCTCTACCTTGACAGAGAAGCTGGCCAAGGCCGAGGCACAGCTGAAGAAGCTCGAGGAAGAGGCCTCGGAGGACAAGAAGACTCACGCGGCCAAGGTCAAAGAACTCGAAAGCACCTTGGCCACGTCCGACAAGAAGAGGGCCGACCTCGACTCTGAGCTGTCCAAGGCAAACGCAGCCAAGACGGTGTCCAAGAAGCTCATTGACGACCTCAACACACAGATTGAGGGGCTCAAGAAGGACAAATCGGAGGCGCAGGCCAAGATGGATGCGCTGTCCAAGAAGCTGGAAACGAAACCGTTGTCTACGCCGGCGGCGAAGCCCCCCGATGCTGCGCCTGCGCCTGCGTCTACACCGTCGACCGCGGCTACGTCCAAGAAGAAGAATAAGAAGAAGAAGGGCAAGGGCGGTGCGGGCCCCGCCGCAGCTGTCGCCGAAGAAGCTACGAGCGAGGCGACGGAGCCGGCGGCCGATGTTGGTGATGCACTGGGGAGTGCCGCGCTCGAGGCGGAAATCGCCAAGCTCAAGGACGAGGTCAAGGACAAGGACACCCAGATCGAGAAGCTATCGCAGCGACGCAAGACGGAAGAGGACCTCCGCGAGGAGATTGAGAACCTGCAGGAGAACCTGCTCAACATTGGCCAGGACCACGTCGAAGCCAAGGACAAGATCAAGGAGCTCGAGGCGGAGAAGGCGGCGCTGAAGAAGCAGATTGCCGAGCTGGAAGAGAAGATGGGCGCCTCGACTACGGATGCCGCCGCCAGCGCCAAGCTGCAGGCCGACATGGATTCGCTACGAAAAGACTACGACGACCTCAAGGACAAGTCGGCTACGCTGCAGTCGGACCTGGGCGCCGCACAGCAACTGGCGCAGACCCGCTTCAAGGACCTCTCGGACCTGCGAGAGGTGCTGCAAAAGGCGCAGCCGGAGCTCAAGACGCTGAGGCAGGAATCTGCCGAGCTCAAGACGGTCAAAGAGGACCTTGCCGCCAGGGTCAAGGAGCTCAAGGAGATGGAGAAGAAGGAGAAGGACCTGAATCGCGAAGCATCACGGGCGCAGCAGCTCTCGACAGACCGCGAGACGGAAGTCAAGGGCCTGCAAGAGAAGCTCAAGGCGGAGGGCTCCGGCAAGCAGCAGGCAGAGGAGGCGAAGCGCACGGCAGAGCGCAACCTGCGGCGCGCCGAGGCAGACAAGGTGGAGCTGAGCGCAAAGGCGGAAAAGGCGGAGCGAGAGCTGCAAAAGGCGCAAGACGAGGTCAACAAGCTGCGCCCCAAGGTCAAGGAGCTGGAGGAGCAGCTGCACAAGATGAAGCGGGAGAAGACGGCGGCGCAGGAAGAGGCCGAGTTCAAGGCGCAGCAGTACACCAACGCGCAGAGCCTGCTGGGCAGCATGCGGGACCAGACGGCGGAGCTGTCGACTCAGCTCAAGGAGGCCAAGTCGCAGGCCGAGTCGCTCGAGGAGGAGCTCGGCGAGGTGCAGCGGCTGCTGCAGGAGCGGACGCGCGAAGGCGAGACGATGCGGCGGCTCCTGGCCGACGTGGACGAGCGGGCGGACGGCAAGGTGCGGGAGATGCGGGGGCGGATGGAGGCGGCCATCGAGGAGCGGGAGCGCATCGAGGACGAGTCGAGCACGCTGGCGCGGCGCAAGTCGCGGGAGACGGAGGAGCTCAAGCACCGGATCCGGGAGCTGGAGCGCGAGGTCAAGACGCTGGGCAACGAGCGCGACGAGCTCGAGGAGCGGCAGCGCGAGTGGAAGCGGCGGCGGGAGGAGCTCGAGGCGGTGGAGAGCAAGGCGGAGGCGGAGACGGAGGAGATGCGGACGACGGTGTCGCAGCTGCGGTCGGCGCTGGACGCGTCCGAGGGCCAGCTGCGCGACAACGAGAAGCAGCGGGCGGACCTGCGCAAGATGCTCGACGACTCGCGGCAGCGGTACGAGCGGATCGCGCGGGACCTCAAGACGGCGCAGGCCAAGATGCTGTCGAGCAGCACCGTCGGCGGCTCGTCGTCGCGGACGTCGACGGACTCGAACCGCAGCGGCGGCGTCAACGGCGGCAGCGGCGGGAGTGGCGGCGGCGGCGACACCATGTACCTGAAGACGATTCTGCTGCAGTTCCTGGAGCAAAAGGACGGACGGCTGCGGGCGCAGCTGGTGCCGGTGCTGGGCAAGCTGCTCAAGTTTGACAAGTAAGTGGAAAGCAGGCGATGGAGCGTCACGTCACGGCTGGCTAACACGGAGACTTCACAGGGCGGACGAGCAGAAATGGCTCAACGCGGTGCAACACATTGAAGTGCGATAGCGAGCATGACGGGGCGCGTGTTTCCGCATGGACATTGGGCGCGGCGTTGGAGGGAGGACGCATGGACGGTGTAGCCATGGAACGGGCTTTTTGCTCGCTCGCGCACCTGTAGTGGGATATTGACCTGTCTGTCTAAACAAGAGGCCGTCGTGACCGGTGCCGACAATGCCCTAGTAGGCACTTGCTGTACATGAATATATGATGTAGTACCGTGGACGCGGCCATCCGGCAGTGGGTTTTGGGTGCGCGTGTCAAGTCGAGCCGTCACCTTGAGTCTAAGGACTGCCACAGAGACCTGGGGGCGACGCGGACGCTTTGATCCGGGCGTGTGGCGCAATGATCGGGTCGGTGACCTCACGCTGCCGCCACGGATCGAGATGGAGCGGCAGGGGGGATGAATGACGCCGTTGCACAGGGCGGACGGCGAACTCAAACGGCGCTGGCTGGGGAGTTTAAATAGACGTGCAACAGTCGACATGAGGTTCGTTGCGCCGCCCAGACTGTGAATGTGTATGAATTGACGCAATTGCCTCGACCGCGTCCTACAAACACACATCATCATTGACCGATCGACGGAACAGTAGGACCAAACACGACAGCCACGACAGGCAGAAACGCTGAATCATGTCGGGAGACAGAGGCAGCCATTTCCTCCGGGGCAACCTGTTTGACCTGACGGGCAAGGTCGCCCTCGTGACGGGTGCGTTTCCCCGTGTGATACTCTACAAATGCACCGTCGCTCACAGCGCACACACGCAGGCGGAGGATCGGGCATCGGGCTCATGATCACGCAGACGCTGGCCTGGAACGGCGCCAAGGTCTACATTGTCGGGCGGACGGCGTCCAAGCTGGAGCGTGTCGTGGAGACGTACAACACCCGCGATCTGCCGGGCCGCATCGTGGCGCTGCCGGGCGACGTGTCGTCCAAGGAGGGCGTGCGGGCGCTGCACGCGTCGTTTGTCGCGCACGAGGAGGAGGAGACCAAGGCCGGCGGGAAAGGCGCAAAGCAGCCGGCGGCGGCGCTCGACGTGCTGGTCAACAACGCGGGCGTGGCGAGCGCCAAGGTCGAGACGGACGCCAACGCGAGCGCCGAGGACGTGCGGCGCAGCCTGTTCGAGGCGGAGCAGAGCACGTTTGACGACTGGAACGGCACGTACAGCACCAACGTGACGAGCGGCTTCTTCGTGACGGCGGCGTTTGCGCCGCAGCTGCAGCGGGCGGGCGAGCGCGAAAAGGGCTGGTCCGCCGCCGTGGTCAACGTGTCGAGCGTCTCGGGCCTCATCAAGCACTCGCAGCGGCACTTTGCCTACAACGCGAGCAAGGCGGCGGCCGTGTACCTGACGCGCATGCTGGCGGCGGAGATTGCGGGCGGCGGCGGGGAGAAGAAGGGCGTCGGGGTGCGCGAGACGGAGGGGGGTGGTGAGGGCGGCGGCGGCGATGGTGATGGTGATGGTGATGGCGATGCCAAGGGCAGCGTCAAGGAGAGCCGGCTCAAGATCCGCGTCAACGGCATCGCGCCGGGCGTATTCCCCAGCGAGATGACGGCGGGCGAGAGCGGCGGCGACCAGAAGAGCGAGCTGGACCGGGGGCACTTTGCGAGGAGCCACGCCGAGGACGTGCCCGCGGGCCGGCCCGGCGAGGAGCGCGACATGGCGCAGGCGGTGCTGTTTGTGGTGGGGTGCACGTACCTGAGCGGGCAGACGGTGGTGGTGGACGGCGGGTACACGCTGGGGGCGGGCATGTAGGCGGGAGGGCTCGCAATAGAATATCCATTGTGGGTGGTGCGTCGTGATGCCGGTGGTGATGGTGGACCGTGGTGGATGGTGGTGGATGGTGGTGGTGATGGTGGTGGAGGTGATGGATGTGTGGTGTAAGTGTTAGGCACCTAGTAGCTAGCGGCAGCGGCAGCAGGGCAGCGGCTCGTCCCCCCCAGGGCCCCCGCCACAGCGGGATGGTTCGTCTCGATCGGGCAAACCGCCAGCCTCTCCTCCCTGCATCGCCATCAACCCCATCCATCATCGTCAGCAGACATGACGCGTCGACATCCCAACCCCGACTGACGGCATATTGTATCGTCAATGTATAACCTACCTATTCGCATCTTTCAGCCGAGTCCGTAAACACTCACCATGGGCGCCGTCGTCTCGCTCGTCGGCGATGGCCTCCTCGCCGCCTCCGACGTGGCCAAGGCCGTCGCCGCCCTCATCGGCAAATACAACGCGCTGCTCGCCCGCGCGTCCTCGGACCCGGGCCTGCCGGTCCCGCACCCGACGTCCCCGTACTGGCTCGTCGACCCGCCGTACCCGGCGCTGGCGGACGTGCAGAGCGAGACGCTGTCGCGCGAGGCCGACGTCGTCATCATCGGGAGCGGCATCACCGCCGCGGCCGCGGCCAAGTCCCTGCTCGAGGTGTCGGCATCCGCTTCCACTCTCACTCCCGCCACCGCTGCCGCCTCCTCCCCGCCGCACTCACCGCTGCGCGTCGTCGTCCTCGAGGCCCGCCAGCTGTGCAGCGGCGCGACGGGGCGCAATGGCGGGCACATCAAGTGTGCTCCCTACGAGGAGTTTGCGCGCCTCCGCGGCAGGTTGGGCGCGGAGCGGGCGCGTGACGTGGTGCGCTTCCAGATGAGGCACTTGCCGGGTCTGCTCGAGGTGGGCAAGAGCTATCCCAAGGCGGAGGTGAGGGAGGTCCAGACGGTGGACTTGTTTCTTCGGCAAGAAGATTTTGACAAGGCTGCCGAGGAGGTCGACGCGCTCAAGGCGTGGATGCCCGAGATCGAGGTGCGCGTGCTCCACGGCGAGCAAGCGAAGGCGCATGTACGTGGCTTTTCATCAGTCATCACCGTAGTCAAAGGGACGCTGACCGAGCAGATTGGCGTCAACGACATGGTCGTCGGGGCCCTGTCGTACAAAGCCGGCGCTCTCTGGCCCTTTCGCCTCGTCACCGGCGTCTGGAACGACCTGCTCGCCCACCATCCCAGTCTGTCCATAGAGACGCACACGCCCGCCGAGGCCGTGTCGCGGACAGGGTCCGATCCGTCTCGTCCCTACGAGGTACAAACGCCCCGCGGCGTAGTGCATGCCCGCCACGTCCTACACGCGACCAACGGCTTCGCGCCGCACCTCGTGCCCTCGTTGCGCGGCCGCCTCACTGGCGTGTTGGGACACATGACGGCGCAGCGGCCCGGCGCGTCCTTTCCGCGCTGCGACGGGAACCGCTCCTGGTCCGTCATCTCGAGCCCGGGGTTCGACTACGTCACGCAGCGGCCCGCGGACCCGGAGACGGGCGAGCCTGGCGACGTCATGGCGGGGGGAGGGCTCTTTAACAGCCGCGAGCAAGGGCTCGACCAGCTCGGCGTGTGGGACGACAGCCGCGTCGACGCGCTCCCCGTGATGCACGTCCGCGGCAGCATGGCGACGGTGTTTGACCCGCGGTGGGGCGGCGGCGGCAGCACGGACAAGGTCTGGACGGGCGTGATGGGCTTCACGGGTGACCTGATGCCGCTCGTGGGCCGCCTGCCTGGTGGCGACGAGAAAACGAAGAGCGACTCGGGAGAGTGGGTCGCCGCTGGCTTCAACGGCGAGGGCATGGTCTGGGCGTGGTTGTGCGGCACGGCCGTCGGTGTCATGATGCTGGGGATGGAGGAGAAGGACTTGCAGCCCGGCGCGGGGCGGCCTGGCGGCAAGCTGGACGCTTGGTTTCCGCGCGACGTGGTCCGTGTCGATTCCGCAAGGATGAGGAGAGCGGACCTGAAGAACCTCGCGCGGGCGGCGGGCCTGTGAGCATGCGAGCATGTGTCGTGTGGAAACCCCCTTCAAGCTATGAAGATGCGGCACCTGTTCTGTATGACTGACTATTCGTCCCGTGAACTTTCCGAGAAACTATATTACTAGGAACGTCACAGCTACTGTATCGCTCGAACATGAGAGTCCAACTTGACGGCTCGCATTTACTTATTACCCCGTCAACCCGTTGCCCGGAGCACCAACACACCCCTTGCGGACCCAACACTCCACGTACCCGTGCGCCCACCGCTGTCTAACCGGATTTCGGCAGCAGCCTGGCCACGCCAAAGGAGGCAACGCTCTTTCTCTAGTCCTCGTCCTCGCCGAGGATGTCGGAAACCAGCCCCAGCGGGAGGCCCGCCACAATCTTGTCAGTGTCCCTGTACGGCGAGCGCTTCCTGCCCTGCGCGGCGCCGACGACCTGCGTGTGGTACCCTTCTCCAGACAGCTCCCTGCCCGTGCCACGCGTGCCTACGAGCGGGAGCGCGGCCACGATCTCGTCGGCGTGCTTGACTGTCTCGTCTAGGAGCGGGAGGTCCAGCAGCGGCGGCAGGTCCGCGACCTCCTTGTCCGTGTCCTTGTACGGCGAGCGCTTCTCCGTGAGCTGGTCGTGCTTCACGTAGTCAAGCCGGGAGAGCGGGAGCGCGCCCACAACCTTGTCGACGTGCTTGCTTGCCTCGCCTAGGAGTGGCGGGAGGTCCGCGACCTGCTTGTCCGTGTCCTTGTACGGCGAGCGCTTCTTCTTCTCCACGAGCCGGTCGGTGTCGGTGTAGTAGCCGTGCTTGGAGAGCTCACGGCCGGAATCAGGCTCGGGGGAGCGCCCGCCCAAGAGTGGGAGCGCGCCCACAACCTTGTCGACGTGCTTGCTTGCCTCGCCTAGGAGAGGCGGGAGGTCCGCGACCTCCTTGTCCGTGTCCTTGTACGGCGAGCGCTTCTGCATGGGCTGGGGCTGGACCTCGCCGCCTGGGCGAGGGAGAGCCAAGGCGCCCGTGGCGGCAGCGATGAGAAGCGAGACGCGCATGATGATGATGATGGACCTCGAGCGAGATGTGTTGGCCTTGGGAAAAATTTGAATGTCTGACGGGGGGATGAAATTGATGTCTTTCATGTTGCTGGCGGAGGGCGGATGTGGCAATCCCAATTTATAGAAGCGTCAGCACAAGCCCAATTGATCGCGGAGTGCACCACCCAGTATTCCACGTCCTCTCTCTTCACATCGCATTCCAAATGTCACGGCTAGAAGCCGCGGTTCTGGGACTTGCCGTCGTCCTGAGTGGTTTGCGATAGATTTCTGAAATTTAGCACACAGGCTCTGGCCAGAAAACGCCCCGATCAAATGCGCTCAAGACTACTCATATTATTGAACATGAACTCTGGTCGACGGGAGGACCCTTCTCAACTATTCGCTCTACCATGGACCGCCTCGTTGCATGGGCCATTCAGAGACAAACGACGCACAATCTCGTAGGAAACATGTGTTCTATGACGATTTCTAGTTCGAGGTGATGAATCCGGGTCCCCCATCTGCTCGTGTGTCTCGCCGCCACGTGCGCTGGTCCCGGCAGAATCTGACACATGACATATCCCGGAGCCAGTTCCGTCGTCATTTGCGTAGCCTTACAGTGCTTAGAATAGCCTCTGACATCTCGTACGCTCTCCTTTTTTGGGCCCGTTGAGGAGAGCCGTCTTGGGACATTGCGTCGGAAAAAGGCCGCCGTCACGACAGAGGTCGTAGAAGACGGCCCCCCGGCCACCAGACTCCACGACACTTCCACTCGAGCTCCCCCTTTCACCCCGACAGACAGGATAGGCCCCTCCCCCTTGAGTCTGGTCAGAGACCCCGTCTTGGCGTCGACATCCAGAATGGAAGCCAGCAGCCTCTACAAGCGCTGGTCGGGGTACATCCCCATTCTGCCCTACAGCACGGACGTTGCGGGCGCCAAGGAAGAGCAAGCGCGGGACGAAGGGAACGATGCGGGCACACGCCGGAGCAAGACGTCCGTCTGGCTGACGGCGGTCAATGTTCTGCTGTTCCTCCTCACAGCGACTATGTGGTATCTGCAGGGCGGTCCACGGACGAAGGCCCTCAATGCCGCGTTGAGGGAGACGTCGAGCTACAGTACGTGAGCCACTTCACACTTCTTGCGGTACCTATGCTCACGGGCGCAGCACCCATTTTTGACATGATTGATCTGGAGCCGAGCATCAAAAAGATCAACGGCACCGTCAAGCCGGCCGGCCAGCCCTCCATCGCGCGGCAGTTTCCGAACGCGGCGGCGGACGAGCGGTGGGAAGAGGACATTGAGCTCATCCGACCCATCCCAGTCACCCGCGAGCAAATCATCAAGATGGGCAAGAACCCCGACACGGTGGCCAAGCTCGAGGATCACATCTGGGGCCTCGGCGACAACGCCTACGTAGCCGCACTCGACCTTTTCCACAACTTGCATTGCCTCAACTCGTACGCGCCGCCCATGACTGAAGCCAAAAAATAAATAAAAAACGCTCTATTCCGGTTTCGAGCTGACGACTCTGCAGGCTGAGACAAGCCGCATATGGCAACTATTACAACCAAACCATGGGTACGTATTGGCGTAGCCGGCGTTGAGACCATAGCTCACTCATGGTTCCCAGCCGAGGCCACAAACTTTTACGCCAGAGGCGAGACGCACCTCAACCACTGCGTCGACATTTTATACCAGCATATAGCATGCAGGCAAGCACGCACTGCCTCAGTCATTACCACAAATGTACGCTGACAAAGATACAGCAACAACCTCAATCTCGTCACCAGACATTGGACCGAGGGTGCAGAGTATCCATTTCCAGACTTGTGCGTGTGGCCACCTCACGGGGATGACATGGACTTGTGGCAAGCAACAGCGCGGCTAACGTTCGGACACGCAGCTCTATCAACGCCCATTGCATCAACTTTGACAAGCTGGTCAAGTGGCACAAAGAGGCCTCGGTCGACATGGAAAAGTACGTCGAGGTCATGAGGAAGCCAAAGGGCGTCAAGGAGGAGCCGGCGGAGACATGGCAGACGGGGCCCTGAAATGCTTTGCTGTCCGTTACTAGTTACATGTAGGCTCGTATTCAATAAGCTAGTATGTTAACTTGTCAAACGCAAGGCGGTCGGAACGGATAGAACTAACTAGTGACGGGTCTTTTCTAGTATCGCAAACCAAGTCTCACCACAACTCTGCTTATTGATAGGACAACGGAAGCAAAGTGAAAGTGACAGTTCGTAATCGACCTATGAACCGCGGTGAGTGCTTCGACTTAGTCAAAAGGCTCAGTGGCTACTACTGGCGCATCAATAATCCTCAAGCCGTTGCCCGCCAAACCTCGTTGAGTTGGGTCTGCAAAACGTTCAACAAGACGTTGGACTGCAGAGAATTGTCGATACTAGGCCCAGCGAGTGAGAGCCGGGACTCAATGGCTGCTCCATGGGTTGCCAACGCGAGAGCTGGGGCCAGCTTGAGGTGCTGATGCAAAGACAATAGAGTCAATTCATTCGACATAGCTCAGACGCCGAGACCGCGGCAGAGCCCCTGCGCGGTTTGGATGAAGGGCTTCAAAGGTTGAGGCAATGTCTTGTGGAAAGCTTCAGTCGATCCGTAGGGATTGTCATAGCTGCATGAACTCTCTTTTGCGCTCGATGTTATTTCTGGCCCTACTGCTATTCTCGTTTCTATAATATCCACTGACCACATTGCTCAGTGAGACCAAACAGACACGGAGTTCCACTGCGCACGTCTCGCTCACAACACATCGACCCCGTTGCAGGCCAACCGTGTACGGCTTTCAGGTGTACATGAGGAGTCATGTTTTTCGGAGGGTCCATCTTTGGCAACCACAAAGGCTCCATTCACAGCCTTCGAATAGTGCTGTGCGGCATTCGTTGACTTAAGACCCGCTTCATGTTCAGACCAGCCGCCGGAGCGCTGGTGGTCTGCAACGCGAACCGGGCCGAATACTCCGTCATCAAACAAACCCCAAAGACATCAACTTTCGGCGCCGCGAGCCTCAACACGTTGACGGCTCATCGTCTGGGAGCATCTCTCCGAAAGACGACTTTTTCTTGAGCTGCGAAAGGGTCGATGGCGGGAGAAAGAAATCGCTGAGTGGCGGACGTACGTGTACAGTAGCGTCCTGCGGCTGTGTACTTGGAAGTGCAAACTTGCGGGGATGGCGGAAAAGCCGCCAATTTTATTTACCAACTTGTTTAGTGCGGTCGGGCTGAGACGTCGAACAGTCGCTTCGGTGAGGGGTGCTCGTGCTCTTTGAGATTGACTTCCTTCGGGACGTGGCCTCGGATCGGGATGTGGAGTGCTGCGGCACTGCTGCCACGAATGGTACTGGCGGCGCCCGTGCCTGTGCCCTTCACGCCCTCCCTCATCAGTGGCCCTTTGGAGGAGGAATCTTACTCTGGCCTGGAATAACTTGCGCAGATATGAAAAGTCCCGACCTAACTTGGATGTAGAGCTGGGCAACTCCTCTGTCGTTGCATTGTCTGCAGCGATTGCGACGCGGGCTCGCCGGGGCTTCATCTCCAGTCCATCGGCGCATGCCTTTGCGACGTTCAGTGTTCCACTGCGCTGGGCCCGCCTTTGGCCACAGCCGCTCACGCGGGGGGGCGCCAAACATCGATCGGGCCGCGCTGGCGGCACATCCAGAAGCGTATCGGTGTAAGTGCAAGCCGCTCCACCATTGCTTTTGCCCAGCCCGTCCATGGTCCCCCAATGCCGGAGGGTCACCTGGATCATTCAGCTACTGTTGACGTGGCCGCGGACCTCGACGCAAGTCCAGCTGCGTCGGACCATCGGCAACTACCACGGCACTTGGTCTCTCAGCTGCCGCCTTCTGCGCAAGCCACGACCTAGCTCTTTAAGCTTAATCGTCAGCGCCAGCGGCGCTGTCTCCGCGCAGTAGCACTTGGACGTTTCTGCGCCACCATGGGGATGCCATGTTCAGCCGCTGTACGGAGTACGCTGGTCACCGTACGGCATGGACTCTTCCTGATACCTCTCCTATCACCCCGGGCCGTCGGAGGCGAGGGATGAAGACGAGATAAAAAGAGGAGTTGGTTCCTACGGGATCGAGACCGTCCTTGATCCCCGATTCCTTGCGCCCGTACATGCATTCGTCCCACCCATCAATTTCTCCATCACAAGCGCAGACCAAGATGACACCCTTTCGAGCCCTCATCACGCTTGCTTTCGGTAAGAATGAGCAGACGCAACAGCATGCTAGCCCCAGCGCTCGACGCGGCTAATCGGTGGAAACAGCCGCCACGGCCTGGGCCCTGCCGCAGACGGGCAATGAAGCGCGTACCCTCACCTGCCTCAAGTGGTGCCCCGACAACTTCCCCAACCTCGGACTGGCCTGCATAGCGCAGGCTGCACTTGGAAAGGGCCCGTGTTATGAGTGCGGTCCCAAAAGCACGTCGACGAAGAAGAAGCTCTGCAACCGCAAGTGTATTGACACGTCTGCCGACAAGAACAACTGCGGCGCCTGCGGAAAAACCGTACGTTGTCCACCTCGACATGTACCGCGTGTGGCAGCCAAATGCTTTTCGACACGATCTTCTTTTGCCACATAAAGCGTCCATGCTAGTTATTCGGGATGACGAGCGCTAACTTTGCGTACAAGTGCTCAACGAGTTGCGTCAACGGGGTGTGCAGCTGCAGGGCCATCAGAGGTTTGTTCGGGCCTGCCCCTAGAGTGACTCTCGTCTCCTGACTGGATTGCAAACAGAAAGTTGCCAAAGCTCCACAGCTGGGTCCTGCTGCACGGGCCAGTGTAGCACTTCTACGCTTGGAGGCTCGACGGGATTCTGTTGCCAGCCCTCTAATCGTATGTTGCCAGTAACCAAAGCCTGTCTTGTGGCCTTTTGCTCACGAGATTTTTCTTCTAGAGCCCTGCGACATCAATGACCCCGGGGAGTGTTGCAGTCAGTGCTGCAAGCGGGTTGGCAATCTGGAGGAGTTTGTCTGTTGTTAGGCGCATGTGGACGTCAATTGCGAGATCCACTTCTCACGCGCATTCGATTTGATGTCATGTTGCGGAGCGCGAATTGTGTTGTCGCAGCGTGACTGACAGTTCCTGCCTTGTAGCAGCCGAGGTTTACCGGATTTTAACGGAGTTGAAGTCGGATACAGATGGAGATGTTCGACGGAGAAGGCGAAGGTTTCTGATAGCTTGTGGTGTGAGACATCGCGCAGTGTGAGGGGGAGGCTCGCATTACATTGGGTTTGCTTTGAGCGGTAGCGTTACGCGGACTTTTAGGTCTTGCCGCATCGGGGTGCCATGATGCCTTCATCCACCCGACAAACATGGTGTACACTGTAGTCCAGGTCATTGACATATACACGGCCTACCAGGCTACCACATAGTAAACACGAAAGTGAAGCGAGACAGTAGGCTGTTGTTCAAGCACAAGTGGATACCCTTTTGGCCGAGCTTGGTGAAACGGCGAGGGGAAGACCTGGTGTGTAACGACAGCACGACTGTCCAAGGCTCAGTCAGGCAAGAGAGGCAATAGCTGTATAAATGGGCTGCGGCTGCTACTGTCGCTATCGGTCAGAGACTGAAGCTTGGAGAGCTCAATTGGCGATGCGTCGGGGGGAGTCGCTGGGGAACTGTCCCCGCAGGCTCGGCGTCACGTGAGCCCTCCAGCTGGCCCCGGCCTGTGTGGCCAACTGTTACACGGTGATAGAAAGAGACAGCTAGAGTCTGCCTTGGGTGTAAGAACACGCGCGGTGTGATCAGGACGTCGATGATACGACAGGGCCGAGCGGGCGAGTCGTGTCGAGCTGCAGACGTAGATGCAGCGTCGAG